TCATAATTTCTTAACTTTCTACAAAGAGAATGCTATTGATAACTAGTAATAATCTGAAAATAAAATTTGAATCAAGTTACACCTTTCAAAGTGGAATGATACAGCTTATATTTAAAAATGGTTTTGACTAGTTTTGACTGCTTTAAAGAAAAGCATTGAGAGGATTTGGATGTTTGAAGAGAAAGATGATTTTTCAGCTGAGGAAATGATAGTGAAGGATTTCTTTTTTTTTCAAATAATTAAAGTATTACATTCAAAATTTAAATAAGAGAATAAACTTGTTAAATAGAAAGTATACATTAAGAAATAAAATTAAAAACACAAGAAAAGCTTGAAGAATTATAATAATAAGTTTAGGCATAAAGTTGTAAATAATACATACATTATTTGAAAGAAAGGAAAATGGTTAAAGACCCATTGATCTAGGGGGTCAGCATAAGGACTATTTAACAAGGCTTGAATTTCAGTTTGGGAGGAGGATTTTTGTGATACACAGACTAACATTTTTAAGTCAAGGGAGAGCTCAGAAAGAACAGATTTTAGAGCAGGGCATTTGGTATCAACATACAATAAAATAAAAACCTTGACAGTGTTTATGTCTGAAGTTACTGGGCTTTTGGGTCACTAGAGGCTCCCATTTAGGGCTTGCTGGTGATCTACAGTGAAATCCGTATTTTAGTAGGGATAGAAGTAATCCACTCCATGTGCTAATGCTGTAAGATGTCTTTCTATAGGCAGCTGATTTCAATCTGTAACCAAAGTGTGTTTCCTGCATCTGCTTTGAGAAGCAATCATCCACAGGAATCAGGCATAAAAATTCAGCCCACATTATCAACAAATAAGAGAAAAAGACATTACCTCTGCAGCAAAGGCTGCAACATGACAGTGAAAGCACTCTTTTGAACAAAGGATTCCTCAGGTGTTTTAAGAAGTGAAGCAAAAATGGATAATTGCTTTTCAGTCTTCTTCAAACACAGAAATATTTTTGTAAGTTCAATAATAATTTCTGTAGATATGATTACTATTTTTTCCTAATTTACTCGGCTCTAACTATCCTCTGAATAAATATCTTCTCTGTATTCTTATTTGCTCCTGAAACATACAGCTATCTTCTGTGTAATGATAAAAATTTATCCCTATAAATGTTCTTTTTCTCAAAGCTGGAGACTGCATTCTTTTACTTGGAAAAGCTCTTCTCTATAGAGACTTGTAATGCAGTCCATGCAGAATTCACTGCTTTACATTCATCCATGATTCATCTGTTCAAACATATCTCAGATTACAAGTGTTTCATAATACATAATCTGTTGTAATGCAGATGAGATATTGGTGTAGAACTGAATTTTAAACATTAATATCTTTCTGAATATTTTAGTGTTACAAAAAACAATAGGTGAGAATTTTATGATTAAATGGTCTTGACAATACATGTCTCTGTGCATAAAGTCAGACTCAGTAGGTTACTTCTATTCCCTAGGTTCAATGTACACAAGAAAATATCTGGGAAAAAAACTATTTATAAATTATATAGATTTATATAATTTAATAATTTATAGATTTCAATCCATATAGATTGAATTTGCTAACTGTAATGCATTATTAACTTTGGACACTGAAAAGAAAAAAAAAAAAAAACCCAAAAAGTCAACCAGCCTTTCGCTGAGTTGTATTTATTTTTATAATATAAATGATGTTTTATAAACCTTTCTGGAATTTACAAAAAAAAAATCAATATAGAAATAGTGTATCACTTTTATGAAAAAGGACATAAGAATATCCTAAAGGGCAGGTGTAGATACTGATGTACTCCCACACAGAACTGCTCACAACAGACAACTTTAATGGCCAAGATTTACTGCTCAGGGCAGCAAAATAAATGCTTTAAATTGTTTGAGAGTTAGGTATAACCAATCTAAAGACATAACCAGAACTGCTAATGCTGCTCATTCCACGATCCTATGGTAAGATTAATGCCAGCAAAGATTAAATATAATAGAGACTTTATTCTAGGGTTTCCCAAGATGAATGCATATTATATTTGAAGAGAGCTATTTTAGAAACATAGAAAATCTAGGAGAAAGCTGCTTTTTAAATACGTAATATGTCATAACCCTTTGTGACAATTTCTGTTGGAGAATACATATGTAGCCAAAAAAAGGACATTGAAGTTTTTCAATCTGTTTATCACTATTTTCTTAAAAGCTTTTCCTGTTGACAGAAACAACAGACTGAAGTTTATTACTTTTGTCTAAGCAGGCTAAGATCCAAGCCACAAGAAGTAATAGATTTTGTAAATAATTTTTCCAAGAGGTCATAAAATCACAGAATGGTTTGAATTGGAAGGGAGCTTTAAAGGATATCTAATCAATCATTATGAATAAAAGTAAGATGAAAAGGAGCAAAAAGATAATTTTTATTCTTATTAAAGGTTTCTGGAGTTTAGTTCACAGGTGTGATACTAGAACTTAATTTTATGGAAAGGATCATTGAGAGTACTCGAAAGATGTTGGCAAGCTTACTACATGTAATGCACTATTTATACAGCAGACAGAAAAAGAGCAAAGTGTCATGTTAATAAAACCTGGAAATGGTTTTAAAATGAAAGAACTGGGGTAAGTAAGAAAGAAAGAAAGAAAACAAAGAGAGACAAATGGTTTCTTGCAAACAGCTCATATACTCAAACCAAGATTGTGATGAGGTTACAAATGAACACAGGAACTTTAAACGATAGAGGGAATGATAAGGAGAGTGGCTGGTAAGACAAGACAAGACTAAACCAGAAGACTTACAAATGTAGTGGCAGCAGCACAAAAAAGTAAGGCACTAAATTAATATTTTGAAACCTAAAAACCATCAAATTTTCCTACCCACACAGCCAGGCTGAATTAAAATGCAACTAAGGTGTAGAATTGTTCAGCAAAAATTCAATGGCTTAAAGATCCTAAAAAAACTAAAGGTATGTCAGGAACTCAGGTAAGGGAAGTAGGCTCATTCACTGAAACTGAAAGACCATAATTTTACAAGTTGTCAAAGGATAAATTTATTGAGTCAAAGTTGTAAACCTAGGTGTTTCATAAGAATCCTGCTGATGTTCAAGCACCTGGTAAAAAAATTCTACAAAACTTGGTACCTTTTTCCAGGACAGGAATAAAAAGTCACTTTCAAAATGATGTTACACTGGGCACTTTAGAAATATAACCATTAAATCCTCTTCTTTCCTACCTTTATTTCTAAGCTCCCAAATTAGATTGGTAAATTTTTAATTTAACTGACCCACAGCAATATTAAAGCCCTTCTTTTTGGGAGGACAGATAATTTGAATTGCCTTAGAGACTACTAATTACAGACAGAAAGCTCATAAAAGACCAAAAGTACAGTAAATAGGAACAAAGAACTTCTGAGGATGGCTGCCTCTTTGGTTCCAGAACTTCACACCACTCTGGCTACTGTGTTCTGGCTGTAAGAAGGCAAGCAGGGGAGTGGAAACATAAAAATGCTGTAAGTTTTCCTTAACAGTTTTCTAATTAAGGTAATAATCTGAAAACTGCACCTGCTACTGTTTGAAGATAAATGTTTTAAGGAACACAGAAACTTTAGTGGTTTTGCAGGCCTTGTGTTCTTTTTCAATCTGGTAAAACTGCTGGAACCTTAGCACAAATATGACTTGCCCCGCTTAGATCATAAAGTCTGTAAATTTTATGTCAGTTTATATAAAGGGATTTTTCATAAAATTTGCACACTCTTTATTATGAAAAATAGAGAAAGTTATCTCCTTGTCCCAGCAAGTGCAAGACCCATAGCATAAAATAGTAATATACCAGGGTCAAAAATTTAGCACAGCCTATGAGCTAACCATGAAATAGCTGGAAATAAAAGGATGACTATGGAGGCAAAACAGAAATTAATCTAAACTCAGACTGGTAACAGTTTTTAAAACAGGACTAGGCCAACTCATATAATTAGGTAGCTCACTAAATGTCTGGATTTATCAATACTTGGCTTCATACCATCCTGTGATATTCAGGATTGCCTGTCTCACCTCTTTTTATTCCCTCTAAAGTTCCAAGGTGGGCTGTACTCCTTCTCATTCCTCTTTCCTATCTCCCCTTCCTAAGCCTCCAGCAGAATGTCCTATACCCCATATGCTGACGGATGGCTGTGTGGCAGGAACAGGCGTTGACTGACCTGAGCAGATCAAGGTCTTACAGCTGCTGTGCAGACCAGACAGATTTTACTGCTCAGCCTCTACTGAGCAACACCCAAACCTCACTAATTAACACTTGAGCTGGACCTCACCCTAGAGAACCAAAAACTGTCTAGCACAGAAAACTCTGTGTGGCTGTGGGACTCAGGAGCAAGGTTTAGTAGTGGACTTTGCAGTTCTAGAAGTTGGTCTTGATCCAACCTAAAAATGTCCATGATTTGATAATCTTAAACATATTCTCTGTTGTAGTCATCAAAAGCATATGGTTAGATTTTATTGTTTTCAGCTATAATTATTTTTTGTCTAATATTATCTTTTCTCTTAGAAGAGGATACATACTCTTCGATTTGATAACTTTTTTTCTCAAATAGGCTCAATTCCAATACACAGTGAAACAGATTATCTGCTATCTCCTGGCCTGCCTTAAACATTCATGTTTCAGACCTTTGGCAGTGTTATTTTTCCACCATGAAATTTTACAGGCTATATCAACCACAAATGTCTGTCAAAAAAAATTAAATGAAGACTTCTTGACATTTATTAAAAATGCTACCTTGATGCTATTCCTATCATTTTATAAAAGCAATAAGGACATTCTCACACTGACTCTTTTCCTCCATTAGTAATTTTTTAGTTTAGATATGCATTATGCATAATATTTATTTCGTGTCTCTTAGAAAAATATATACTTAAGTTCCGCTTATTTTTTATCAGAAAAACATTTCAAAGTTCATAATAAATTATAAATAAGAAATAGTTCTACTGAACATGGACAAGTAAATTTAAACATTAGTACCTGAAACAACACCAATTCCATCATCACAGTCATAATCAGAAACTTCACTGTCACTGATTCTTTTGGATCCTGGAAAAAGGAAAGACATGTATCATTTTCCTTCCTGTAAGTTAAAATTATCAGTTGTCAATAATACTTAAATAAATGTATGGATTTCATACTAGTCCATGCATTATTATTATCAGCATATAAAGGTAGTTATTCTTGTTTTAATTGCACATATACAACTGCAACAATTATTTCAGCTAAATCTTTAAAGTAATATAAAATGAAATGTTGAAATACATCTCCATGGCATTGCTTTAATGAAATATTTTATCTACTTTATATTCATTCCATATACACAGATATTTGTATTCATTCCACACAGAAACTGGTATCACACTATTCACCTTCCAAATTCCATATACAAGACACCATCCCTCCCCAAAGTCTCTGAGTAGCAGAAAGATTATTAATAGTAATAATATTAAATGCATGTAGTATTTTCTTTGAGTTCTCAGTAAATATTGTCAGGAGAAAAGGTGGCATCACACATATAGTGTGCCATGGAGCATGAGCAAACTATTAAATGTACACCTGCCAAAATAGCTAGAGCTGAGTTGGCAAAAGCAGATTCCTCTTCCATGATTAGAGCTCAAATGTACGTCACACAGGACAAGTAAATATGTCAGGTTTTGCTCAGCCTAATTTACTTCAGTCTTCTGTGGCATCTTTTAAATAGTTTTTGATTACTGTTATCAGGGTTAAACACTGGCATGTGACTGATAATTATTCATTTACTTCTTTTAAATGTGAAAAAATCCCTGCTCTTCAGCAAGATGGTGTGTCTGTTTTAAGTTTCCAGCCATCTAAAAATGGGTAATTAGAAGTCAGAAACTTTAATTGTCACCAAATCTCCTATCACGTGCAAGATTTTTTTTTCAGGCCTCAGGACAATTTTTCTAAAAAATGTAGGCACAAAATTATCACTAAAAACTAGTAGTAAACCTGAAGACCAGGACAAATCAGTCAACATCCTATCTGGGTGACTGGCACAGAAGGATGTCTACCCTCCTTTCCCAACAGAAAACTGGAAGAACATGTACTAAGAGGGGTTTTGGCAAAAATAAAGAGTTTTCAATTTAAAGAAACTTTAGAAATTGTTTGAATTATAAGAACTGCTGTCGTTTTTTAGACTATTGAGTATTTGTTTACCTACCCACTAGAGGATAGTGGAAGGTCCTTCTGTAGCAGAAAGAGCATGTTTCCAAGATCTGAGACTTCTCCTAAGCCATCCTGCTTACAACAAGTAATCTACTTCTCCACAAATTCACATAATTTCATTTTTAGTCACATTATTCTATTGGTGCCTATAATATTCTGTGTCAGTAAATTCTGTAGTTTGAGCATGCATTGTGTGAAATCAACTTCCCTATGTTTTATTTCTATTCTATTATTTCCGACACTGCCCTCCAAGCTTTTGTATTCTGAGAAACATGAATCAGCATTCTGTGTTCTTCTATAGTTATCTCGTTGGTTTGCATTTTTTTGTGCTGAAATATCATTCTTCCGCTCCTTTACATATGCAAACCATTCCATATTTCTGTTTTCCTGCTGTATTTGTTTGTATATTTTCTATTTCTTCTGTGCCTTTTATGAGAAGTCAGAAGTCACTGCAGCAATTAAGAAGTGGGTGTATGAATTTATAATCTAGACTGCAGACTACTTCTTTGACAATAAAAATTTCTCAGCCTAAAACTTATTCAGCTAAAAAATGGTGTGTGATATGTGCTAATTCTTAGAAAACAACATAGCCTGCAAATCCATTATGCAAATTTCAGTAAAGAAATTTTAATTGTGGTTATTTAAGTGCACTAAAGGTTGATGCTTTCCTCACTAATAGGAAATTAAAATTAGTTCTGAGAAAGTCATGCAATTCTCATATGGTAGCTCAATTTATTATAAATTTTTATAAATAGCCATGCTATAATGGGGAGGGGACAAGTATCTTTGAATTCAAAAAATAACAAGTAAAGTTTTTCTCTAAAACAAAAAATTACAAGCAAGTGATGACAACTAGTACTCAAGAAAACCTAGATGATGAGGGCAGAAATGAAGGAAAAGGTTTCTACCTCCTCTGATTATTCTCTTAATTACAAAGGTCCAGTCTCTTTTCCCCCAAAGAAAGCATCCCCTACACCTGAGATGTTGTCCCTGATGCCATTTTCAGGAGAACCTTCTACTGGTGTGGTGATACACGTGCCAGTGAACAAGAAGGATTACTCTCCATTCACCTCAGCCACTGATTCAAATCCAGGTCTTTAAATGAGGACAATATTTGTGACCAAACACTAAGCAAGAGAGCTCCACAGGCTGGTTGGGGTTTGGCTGGGACCTGAAAGGCAAAAGCCCCCAAAGGGAGTGCAAAGCTGGGGGATTCTGCTTTTTGGTAACCCTGACACTGGTCTGGCAGTGGGACTGTGGCTGCTGTGCAGAGATGCAAATAATGTCACTCAGGCCCTATCAGAGAGTGGATTGTGGAATGGGAAGATGAGGGCAAGTGAGCCTGCTGATGCTCATCACATGGCTGCTTGGAAAGGTTTTCATCACGAAAGATGTAAAAGGCTGAATCAACTATGATTTGAATAGATGTCATTTACTCATCAACTAATTCATTCTTATGAATGAATCTAATTAATTACAACTGAGGTTGCTTTTATTTATGTTTATATTTACAGATAAGTACATCTGCTTTAACATATTTTTAGAATATTATATTCTGTATTCAGGAGGAGATATTTGCATCTTTGAGGATGAAAATAGTCAGCTGTTGTCACAGTGGGCTCTAGACTTCCCAGCTGTGTAGCTAAAATTATATATTGTTGTAGTCACAGGATACATCTGGCAGAAGAGAGAGATTAAGAAGCTTCAACAGACCACATGTATAAAGGACAAGGTTTTCTCTCTCTCTCTCTTCATCTTCTCAAGCCACATGCACCTGTTCCAGAATCTCCCAATACCTGAGCTGCACATCATCTTCCAGAATCCAGAGATCTGAGCTTCAGGGAAGAGCCAGGGCAAGAGAAAGTGAACAGGCCAGGATTGAGCCCAAGGATGGGAGTAGAAAAATAATAAAAGCAAGGGAAGAATCAGATTTCAGTGTTTTCTCAAACTGTATTTACCACTGAAAAGACAAGAGTCTCTCGTAACACCTGACATCCTTAAATATGAAAGCTTGATCTGTTAGACGAGATATGAAGCTTATTCAGCTCAGATCATCTATCTCCTCAAGCTGTTACAAGCCAGCTCTAACTACTAACAGACATAAACCAACTGAAGAAAAATCACGTTTAAGTAATATTTTTCATTTCCTTACAAATGTAAATTTAAATTATGGTAAAGAAGTCAGAAGAAATTCAAAGCAGAATTAATTACTTGATTTTATCTTTGGCAATCAGTGTTTTCAGGAAGGAGGAAGGAAAGCAGTGTCAATTAAATCTGTAATGTCAAGAACTACTGCCTGGAATATATAACTTCTGCAAAGGAATCAGATTACACATATTTAAAACATCTTCCATTAACTTCAGAAATGGAACAAACTAGAAAGTGCACAGGTCAAAATCTTTGATTGAACCAAGTATTTGAAATGTCAGTATAATTGCTGGCAGATTATTTTAATATTTCTTGGAATTTTTCAAGACTAATTTCATCTGCTGTATATTAATTTTAGATTGTAATTTTCTTTTTAATCTATTGACAATGTAAATGTGAAGATTTAGGCATGTGTCCCACCTTAGCCATGTCTTTTCAAAGTACTACTTCATTAAGTAATTTGAACCACTGATTACACAAAAGAGAAAGAGCAATTAATATTTTATCTGGGAAATGTGACATTGAAGCCTCTCACAAATTATTGCAAATTAATATTGCGAATGAAACTATTATTTAGTATTTAGTTAATATCTTAAACTCTTTGACACATACATTATAATATATGGTTCTAAAATCAAGAGCAAGGAGTTTATATCCATTCTTAGATAAATTCAGAATTCAGTAAAAACCTAATATTCCTAGATACTGTATACATTAAATGAATGCATAGGTGCCAATGGTTTTCCTGTGGTTAACATTTGCTTTGATGCCATTCCACTAGTATGTAGTTTATTTTTAAAACATTATTGGAGGTATAACTCCCCTTCTGTCTTATAACTGGGCAATAATAGATGTCAATTACAGACTTTCAGATCCCTTCCACCTAGATTAACAATTATTACAGTTATGGACTGAAGGCCATAAAACAGAAAAATAGACCCCATGCTACTGTAATCCTCAAAAATGCCTTAACTGAGCCAAACTCCAGCCCCAGTAAAATAAATATATATATTTTTATTCCATTTAGCAAGTTTGGGTTTAACAGCCTTAAACTATCAATAAAACTTTTCAGGGGAGAGTTCACACTGGAGACAGTGGAAAACCTTCCCATCAGAACTTGCCAAGGTTCAACATCGTCCTGCCCTTCCACACCTTCCTATTCCTTCCCTGCAATGCTGCTGAGGCTATCACCCCACCCAGCACGAGCTCTGTGAGAACGTGTGCACAGCAGAACTGAAGTTCACAGCACCTGCAGTGTAGCTTCCATTGCAGGGCTGGGGGAAAACCCCATCACCTAAAAAGCATTAGGACCATTATTTTCAATTTCCATTTAGGAAGTACTCTCTATTTAATTTTTTTTTATTATTCACATTTTGACTTTCTATTATGCGGAAAAGGAATTTATAATACAGTAGTTTCTTAGTATAAAAACATTTCCATTTTTCATCCTCAGGAATGAAATAATGTAAAGAAAAAAAATGAGGTGTTTCATTCAATTTCTTGAATGAAAAAGTTATTTTTTTGTAAACTTTTTATAGGATGCAGTAGTGGTGGCCATGAAAAGCTTCTAAATAAAAATAATATGGGGACAATTGAAAACAGGTTAACAGAATATTCTTTGGTTTCCTCAAGTCTGTCAATGTTTAAAAAGCATTTGGACAATGTATTTAGTAACATGCTTTAGCTTTTGGTCAGCACTGAATGGTTGGGCTCTTGGACTAGATGATTGTGATAAGTCCCTGCCAACTGGAATAGTCTATGCTATTACTGAATAACATTTCCCTCCACAACAACATTCTAAATAATTTGAACTGTCCCAGATAAATGAAACAATATGCAAATATAAATATTTTCTTACAAAGCAACAAAAATCTGTGGAGGGCTCCAAAAAACCTTCTGCTTTCTACACAACAACTGAAGTAGGCACACAGCTTTTCTTCACTCTTATTAATATACAGGGGAAAGAATACAAAATACCTTCTGTGCTTCTTATATTGCCCACTGACATTTCTGACAGATCTCAGGAGAACACAGGAGGTTCAAAGCATTACTAAAGTGCATATGAACAACCAACATAGTTATCAAAATGAACTAGGATAGGGGATAGAATGAGAAATAAAATTAGTGTGAGTCAGACTAAATACAGAAGAAAGTGCCAAATTTATGGCTCGGGAATTCTGTGCTTTTCTTGTGGAGAAAGAAAAATAAAAAAAGGAAAAAGAAAGCAGTCCATGCTCCCAGCCCTGTCCCTTACAATGCAGAATGTAGTCCATAAGGTTTTGTGGACTCCTTGGGGCAAGAAAGGCTAGTGAAGCATGCTTGCAGTTCCTTCCCTGGAGCTCACAGAAGGCCTTCACCACCACTTAAATTCACTTAGCATTGCCCGTATCTCTTCTGTGTTCAAAGCCGACATATAAGCAACCCCAAAAGAGTCTCATAACAACTGTTTTAAGAATTTGCTTTCTGATATTCATGCAGCCTGTGCCCGAGGGTTCTTAGTGTGAGCTAACTTCTCGTGCAGTCCTGCTGTCTCCACGTCAATCTGTCACTTTATCCTCCTGCACATATTAGTGGGGTTTAGAGGCTTTTGACCAATTTCATCTGCACTGACAGAGTATAAATATCAAATTCTATTAAGTTCCCACAGATCTTTGATAATTGTTAGAATAGGATAGATGAGAAAGATAAAAGAGAGACATACAACTTCTGGATAGAAGAGAGAAATAGAAATTGGAAGTCCTTAATCATAAAGAAACTTTATCCAGAAAAAATTGGTGTCTAATCCACATGTGTGCAAGTCCACAGATGCCACACCAAACTTGGTCTCTCCCCATTCAAAGATATCGTAAAACATGAGAAGAATGTGGGATTATTTCAGGAGAGAAAGGAGTAGAAGAAATATGGGACACTGACGTTAGATGTAATAGAAAGTGGATTTCATTAGTACTACTCTTGACAAATTTCTGCTCTAAGGGAGTTTAGTTTCTCTCTATCATGGTATGGATCAATTTTCATAACAATGTGAGTTCCGTTTGTTAAACATAACTAAAAGATACTTAGTTGAACCAATTCTCAAAGAGATTCCAATAATTAAAACTGCAAAAACTGCAAGAAGTCCCACATGAAATGCACAACAAAATTTAAATTGGTAAAAACTGTATGTTATTAATTTACTTATATTTATTTAAGGCAAATTCCTCAGCTTGAGCTGGATTTGTAATGAGGGATTTATATCAACAAAAAATGTGAAAATATATACCAGTGTAAATACTGATTTTGCCAGTACTTCACTTACCCCAAGTCTGTATTCTAAAAATACTTACACTAGTTCTCAAACAGCTGTAATATAATAGCATTCCTTTTAATCCAGTTTAAGCAAAATAGCATTTTTCTAGTATAGTTAATAAAGCTTACTAGTTTTCCTACCATAGCTCTACCTAAAATAAAGGCAAGCAAAGCAAGTATGGTGTAACAATATTGCTCCAATATCAATACTGAGATATTAAGAATAGAGAAAGAAAGCCAACAAGAGACCTATTACTGAAAAGCAGACAAGAAAAGCCAAAGAACTTTTATGCAATTTAGTATCTGCACAATAGGTAGCAAAAGCACACCAATAAAATATCAAATTAAATTTTGCACATATATGGAAGCAATAAGCATTTCTGGCATGCTGAAAATTTACCTGAATTATATGAATAAAAGCCTTTATCTGGAAAAAAAATATTGAAATGAAGTAGTGTCAGGGAAAAGTACATGAATCAACACATGTAACAGGGATGATTTGAACCTTAAACTTTTTTGTAATTGCTGCCAGAAATGGAAGAATTTGATACAGTACACCACACTTCTTCAAAATAATAAAACTCAAGCAGCTAAGAGAAATTAAACCACAAAAATGCCAGTCACTTCTGGATCAACAGTTATACATAATAGCCACAAAGATCTGGTAAAGCAATTTCAGTAATTTCCAATTCTGAAATACAATTGCACATTTTTACTATAAGTGTTTAACTTTTTAAGGGAAAAATGCATATTCAGCTAGGCATACGGTATGAGGTGCTACCCTTAAAAATATTGCACACTTCTGTTGGCACTGCAGCACTAGCAGAACTTTCCCAAGATGTAGTTTTGAATCCTACTTTAGATTTAACAGACTCTCAAGTGACGTGCCATTCAATCTTCTCCTTCCTGCTAGGCCTTGATTTGGTAAATATGTACATACCTGAGAACCTTAATTACATACTGTAGTTACCAGTGAATTTTAGAATCCTGATATGAGCTCAATGATTAAATATTTGGAAGACCTGATTTATTGTTTGCATTCCTTAAGTCTGACTGGTTTATGTATTTTAGCTTTCCATACAATCATACCAATTTTTCTAAACTGAAAAAAATAATATTATGTGAATACCTAGACATTTCTGGAAATGTAAAATGTTAATTGCATTTGTAGATTTTGAAAATATGACGTCCATAAGATGTCATAATACAAAGAAGTCAGGAAGCCAGAATAACATTAATAATATCTTGTCATTAGCAAGATTTTATGAATATTTTTATTCCTTGTAGTTGACAAGCTCACAGACACCATATTAAACAGAAAAGAGTGACAGTCTAAGTAAATGATGCACCTCAGATGATATGATATGACAGTGTTAGAGAAAATTTCATTTTCTTGCCAAATGGTGCTGTTAATGGATTCACTGGATGACTAAGTGCCTTCTGGCAAGTCACACTTTTTCTGACATCCAGGTACTAACTATTTTAATATGTGGATCATATTACTAAATCATCTGCTACTTACAATTTCTAACTCTCTATATGTTCAACTTCGGTTTCTTGATAAACGTAATGCATTTTTACATCCCAGAGCCAGAATTCCATTAGGCAATATCATTTCAAAGTGAATGATAGGTTTTTTTTCAGCATCACCTACAACCTTTTAGATGTGATTTATTGTGTAATTTCTCTAATATTTTTATTCCTTAATACTAATCTCTTCTAGTTATGAATTTCATTTAAAAATGACAGTTATTTGGCTACAAAAATATGAAAAATGTCATTTAGAAACTTTGCCTAGTTTACCCTGACATCAGGTGTTAACCCGAACACCGAAGGTGGAAGCATGCCACATGCCCTCAAAAAAAATTGATTTACACAGTCTAGAAATTATTCATATAGTTAAAAATTATGGGCTTTCTGAATTTAACTGCTGGACAGATCTTTAAAAGGGTTGAGCTTCTTGAAGAGCAGACGAATATAAAATTAGTGAGATTATAATGGGATCGAGGACTGAGAGAGCCATGTTCATTTCTGTATGTTCACAGCACAGAAAGGAAGAAGTCAGAATAGTATTAAAACCATCTGAAAACTACATTACACAACAGAAGAGTAGTTTAATAACATGATTTTATCAAGTAACCACAGAAATAAAGTCATTCCCTTAAACTGCTTCAAAACAGATTTTAAAGTATTTTTGTAGTTTAATTACAATTTAGTAAATTAATATCCTAAGTGAGCTTCTTTTATTAGAAAAATAAAAATATTTTGATAGTTTAAGGCCTTTTTAGACATCCCTGTATCATGTTAAATACCTTTTAATTAAAGTATTTAATAAACCATAGATGTACCGTAGATGAACCGTAGATAAACCGTAGATGAAATAGAATAAATAATAGATGTGCAATAAATACAATACTGGTATATATATATATATATATATATATATATATATATGTGTGTGTACATATTCTGTGAACAAAATATCAATGCATGCAAAGAAAGATAACATGCCCAAGGCCTGTGCTCCATTTAAAAGAAAGAGAAAAATTAAGGAAGAAGCATGAAAGAGAAAATTAATTGTCATTTTTACTCTCTAGGGTAAAATTCATGTAATGAATTAATCATGGTCTGTGCCACTGACCATAAAATGCTCCATATTATAATTTGGATAAAAAGTCACTGATGCATGTTTCCGTTAGTACAATTCACTTACCTACTAGTGAACAGCATCATTATAATTTCCTCAAGTAAGGTACAGCCACATTCATTTAAAATTATCACTCTGACTTTACCAAACTCACAACAAGCCAAGAGGAAATTATTGAGACAGAAAGATCCTGATTCTGCAGTAAAACCTCTACAGAGCTCCAAGGAAGCGAATAACTTTCAGTGGAAGAAGATTGGCCATCATTTCACAGGGACTTATATTTCACAGATTAAAGTTTCAGATACATTTGCAATAAATTATTGTTAAACTTCCATGATTTTGGTACTACAAAATTTATATTTTGATGTTCTACAATACAGACTTGACAGCTTTACTATTTAAATAATGGAAGAGAGGAATTAAATTAACAGTTATGACATTCCTCCTTGATCTGGTGGTAGAGCCACAGAACATTCAAAAAATAAAAATCGTAGCACCCAGCAATGACAAGTCCATCTAAAAATGTTTTTTCAGAAATTAATAAGGAGTGGGATTCTTTATTTTTAAATTCAATCCATCAGTTTTATTTTTTCTAGTCAGATTTAAAAATTTTTGTCATGTTAAGGTCTGAGCATTGCTGCAGAAAATACAGTCTGATGGAAAAACGTACAAAGTAAAAAGCTGAAAAGACGACAAAACTTTTCATGCTACTCAAAACACTTCATTTACACTTTATAGATTTTCTTTATTCCCATCCAAAAAAAATGAATAAAAATTTAAAAATAAATGTTATATATATAGCTTTTTGCACACTATATGCAGTTTTTTTTAGAATGTAGCTATTGTCAAATTTTGTTCCTGGAGTTTAAATTCTCATAATTGTGATTTCTCTCCCTCCAGATTTTTTTATGGGCCTGGAGAATCATGTAACTCAGTGAATGGAACCATTGATTTATTTAATTCTAAGAGTAATTAAAGTAAAACTCTCTTTACAAGAAAACTACTTCAAAGTCTTTTTATTTACATTTATTTTTATTTTTATTGATTTTTTTCTGGTCTTCAAGTATTAAAAAAACCCAACATTTTGGACTTCTACATGTTGACTTCAAATTTCTAAATTTTTGAATTTCTAAAATCTTCAAGCTCTTCTTCTCAGCAGAGTTTATCTCCCATAGATTTATTACTTTTCCCTTACTGAGGATGCTCAAAATAAAAAAAAATATTTTTCAAATCATATTGTGAATTCTCATGGTATTTAAAAACTGTACAGATATGCTGCTGTACAAGCCTATGCTGCAACAAGAGACGTGAAAATGTCTGGGTTTACTGCTTTGCACTTAGCTGTTACCTACAGTGTCCACTGCACTCTCTGTGGGCTGCAGATCAATAATTCAGACAGCTTCATTTTAAAGCTGCAGAATCTGACTTAGAAAACTAGTGTCAGTCACTTTTCAATCCTAAGTATTTGGGAAAGTCTTAAAACATTTGGAGTAAAACAAAATTTGCTTCTGAATCAAATTCAACATCAATATAAAACCAAAAAAGTTATTTTCCAAAATAAAAAATAACCCCATATTCTTTCTCAGTTCAAAAATATCGGCTCACGCTGCCGAAATGTTCACACTACACGGATATAACTGCAAAAGATGGAATAAGAATACATCATATCCAATTTGATTTCTATCTCTATGTTCTGGGCTCACGGAGAGGAACTAATTTTAGATACACAATCCCATGGTATAAACCTTGCTTGATTTCTGTATAATTTCTCAATAAATAGAAATACTGACAATAATTTCCACACCACTGATCCTACCAATCATGAACACAGCATCCAAAGTATATTCAATTTTGTATGTATTCTCCAATAAGATTCTTAGCTAATGTGAGATGGAAAAAGTAACCTACTAACAACAACAATTCCTAAATATTCTCTAAAATTATTTTTAATTTTCTGGTTACAATGTTTTTTAGAGGCAATATGCAAATGAACTTTGGTTTGGTTGTAATTCTAGTTAAAGTTGTCTGGAATTCTGCATATATGGCTGACTTTGTGGTAAATATTAGAGAAAATTAAATAATTTTAAAAATTCACTTCAAAAGTTCAGCACAGTAAGTAAAATAGACCTACTCATTACCCTACATTTCACATAAGAAAAAGCTTAAAATATACTCATTGGATCAGGTTATGAAAATCTGAAATATAATTAGCTGAAAGAGCTAGGAAGTCATAATCCTATGTTCTATATTAGTTCCAGTTTCTAAGTAAATGTCTGTCAAAAAACACAAAGGAGAAAGTATGGCAATGATTCTTTATCACTAGGAAGCAATGGAATGTATGGATCAGAGGACTGGGAAAGAGAAGGTGGACAGCTGACTTAGATCAGTCTCTACCACAACACACTGCCCACTCAAAGATATTGACATAAATATATGTAGAAACTAAGCTACTGTCTCTGAAAGCTGGTTCCTAAAAAAACAGCATATGGGGCTCTGTGGGAAGCTTGCACTTTGCTACTGGCAATCTGTAAATACAGCTTCACTCTTCAGGGCTGACAGTCTGCTCTTCTTCAGGAACACTGCAATCCAGTGATATTAAAAAGAGAATAGAAGTGGTAAGTGTAGGTGGTTCTTTTAAACTACCTTTAGAGAGTAACATTTAAGTATGGTCTGCAAATATATGTGTTTATCACTCGGCAATCATGAAGATAAAAATGCTTAGATGTGTAATGTGTATTTACACAAACAAAAAACAACCTTGCAATTCAAAATATCTCTCCTGTCATTTCTCACACAAACAATTTTTGGGGGTATTCCATAAAGTCTTTCATATTGTACTCACTAATTCTATACATAGAGGCATTGCAGAAAAGAACAAAAGGTAGGAGGACTGAATTGCTCAGATGTTGCAGCACCAAAAATTGAAATCAGCCTGCTTGATAACAGCACAGTACATGTTCTAAGAAGTGCTATGGAAAACATTGACAAACATGCTAGACATGCCTTGTTCTAGAGAGTCTTTTCACGTTGTCGTGATGTGCTGCAGGATAACATCTTGTTTCATCACTCATATACAAGAAAGTTATTGAAAGATACAAAAACATCTTCAGACACAAGAAACTTGATTTATAAGTTTGACTTCATACTCTTTTGACACCTCAAAAATTGGTAAAACCCCTAGACTTCATGAGTTATTAATATGGTATAAATAGTTTACTAGTGAAGGTAAACAGTTTTAAGAGGTGTTGTCTGCCCTTCACCAGTCCCTTGGTGATGACATTTAAAATGGGAAGAGCATTTTGGAGGCCATCTGGTGCAATGCCTGCTTCAGGCTTGGCCAACTTACACTGCATTGTTTACAGCCTTGTCTAATTGAGTACTGGATCTCTCAGCAGGATATTGCACAACTTCTTTGGACACCAAGAATTTAATTTTTATTTCCATTTAAGAGGTGTGACAGCAATAAAATAAATTTTTTCCCATTATTTTCCCATTTTGTTTTGTATTTTCCCATTGCTAAATGGATTCTGCTGCCATAGCTGAGCTCTGATCAGATGCTAAATTTCCAATTGTATACCTTTTCAGACCCCAGAAAGCAAGGATTTTAATGCCAGGATACCTTGTTCTGTACTTTTAAAAACAATCTCTTTAAACTGAAAATTACTTATGATACACAAGGATTTAAGACGTTAATATATTCCTAGGCCACTAGAGAAAATCCTTCTTTATCGGGTCTCTATCTCAGTACAAAAGGAAATAGGATAATTTCGTGTCATAACATGCGAGTTCTCCAGCAATAATAGTGAGCATCTGAAATTGCTCCGTTGATTGAAGTTTTTAGAACTGGAAGCTGAAAAACTAGTGCTCTGGGAACAAGCAGATTAAACCATCTTCACTGAAAAGCAAGACTTCTATACCAAATCTTAGTATTTTGCAAAACCAGAAGTTTTGCTAAGTCCTTTCCTCTATATTTACAGACAAGCATGTAAAATTGTTCAGTTAAGCAAATTATTAGTATCACTATTTATTAGTTATTACTTATTAGCATATTGCAATATTGCTAGATAAAAAAACCTGAATGTCTTTCAAATTTTGAGTCAACATCATCCACAATATTCAAACATCACTAAAATATGTTAAAAAATAAATCAGAAATTCATGCTTAATGGCAGTTATTTATTGCACAGACAGAAATTCTGAGAGACAAACAAGATTTGTTTGCAGGACTGAATATTTCCTGCAAACCAGAATTTCACTAACCTCACATACAAACAGCCCAAATGGTCTGTAAAAATAGTTGTAGATGGAAACTTAACTTCTTGAAATGTGTTAAAAGATGGCATCAACCATATAAGAAGTATAATTTTAAAACTTTAGTTAAATAACAGTCATGGTATAAGAGAAGACTGAAGAGGATTGAATTGCAGTAGAACTCCTTACCTTTTAACCATCACTTCTCCTTTGTGGACAAACATAATATTAAAACTCCAAGGCTATGCAAAGTAAGTGCTTGATAGGGTGTCTATCTCAGAATATTATGATATGGAGCATTTTAATCCTCACCATCAAGTGCACAGAAGCAAAACAGATCAACTGCTTGAAATAACTTGTATACATTATCTATATAACTTGTATACAATGGGTTATCTTATAAAGACTCTGCATAGAACATATAAAATATCCAAGCTTATTTTCATGACTACACATATAAGTTTCTGTGAGTTTGTGTGAAACACACACACTCTCTCACATCACAATGACTCAAAGAAACTCCAAGTAAATATTAGAAATTGGATTTGGGTTGTTGAAGTTCCTTTTTGTTGTTCAGGGGTTTTTTGTTTGTTTTGGGGTTTTGGTTTTGTTTTGTTGGGCTTCTGTGGTGGTTGTGGGTCTTTAGGGTTTTGGGGGTTCTATTAATTTGCTTGGTTCATTTGGTTTGCTGGGGGTTTTTATATAACCGCCAACTGGTATTTTATAAAGTTTATTCAGTGAACAAGAACTTTAAATCACTGGTAGTAATGAACAATTAAACTAGAGAAACCATGAAGTATTGAAGAACCAGATTTTCTTCTTTTGCAGTCTTATTCTTATGTATCTATTTTTATGACCACATTTGATACACTGTTTTCAAAACAGCTACAGATAACTACTATGGATTGAGTGTAACAAGCTCTACAAAGTAGAATTTTTAGAGAAGTTTCATTTGTGAATCTAAGCACATAAAAATAGTATCAAAGCAAGGCAACATGCCATAGTATTAGTTTATCTACATATGATGTTATATACAGGTTACTTTAAGAAGTATGAGCTAAAGAGAGAGGTCATGAAAATCCACTTTTGCTTAAAAGTGTTTAAACAATGAAATTATGAACATAATATAAAATAAAGGGCTTCATGATAAAAAGAGCACATTGCAAAAACCAAGATAATTTACTCAAACTGAGGATCTGAACTGAGGTGTCTCATAAGAAAAAAATGGCATAATGCACTGTGGTTGATAGCATTTGTAGCATGTCAGACTCTCAGCAGTAACTACAAATGATCTAATTCATAACAGCTACAAAGCAACATAAAAATTCTGTCAGCTTTCCATTTGCAAGAATTTAATAGATTTTAATATGCATTAATTCAAATGAACTACACAGAGTGTGTAAAAGTAATAACCTACTTTGTAACCTCCGTGTGGGACTCTCGCCATGGAGTTGTCTGCGTGGCAAATATGGTGAGGGATGGGGAAGTGGCAATGAAGAGACATCATGTGTTTGAAGTTTGTACCAGTGAGGTTCATCATCTAGCAATGCTGTCTCTAACTCAATAAGAATCTAAAAAAGAAAGAATGGTTAAAACTAGGAAAGCATTATGTGACAGAATATTTTAAAATATATATATTCACAAATTTCCTTCTATCATTATCTTATTGCTAAGGACTTTGTCTGAAGTTATATGAAAACCTTATTTTAATATGAAAGAATCTCCTGTGCCTTTTAGAGCACTAAATATACCAAAAAATCTTTCACAAAACCCTTATTATCTTATGAGAGCCTTTACAGTTTTCAAATATCTCAGATTAATGACCAACATTTCAAAGTTTTAGCAAAACACAGCTATGGAAAATATAGATTTTAATAAACAATTAGAAATTGAGAAACCATGTTCATGCTGTTACTAAAACAGAAAAAACACAGAAAGAATCTCCTATCAGGATTATGTGATATGTGCAAGATCACTATTTATCACTAAGTGAAAGAAAAAATGAAACAATTAAAACAGCTTTTCTTTGCACAATTAGTAATTTTTGCAAAAATACTGAATCTATACATGAGTATGTGAGCAACTGTATTTCTATAGGAACTACCAATACTTGTATACCTCTCCTAAAAATTCACTTTCTTCCTCTCGAACTCGTGCTTGGTCCCAAAGAGTGATTTCTAACATTCGTTCTCTAAACTCTCTCCGATGAACTGGAGAATAAATAAATGTCTGATTCCACTTAGGTTCCAACGTTTTCTTTACTGTTTTTGTTCTTCTTTTATTTTTATCACTGAAAAAAACAGTTAAATATTAAATATGTTCAAAACACCATTAAAGTACATCAAATATATAAAATAGGAAAATAGGAAATCTTAAATCAGCAGTTGAGCTTGTACAATCATGGGTACTCTAATCATCAATTTTCCTTTATTATAGAGGTCAGTGCATCTATTGAGGATAATTCAGAAGTTCATATTAAAAACTTAGGTTAGGTGATTCCAAGTTTATGTGCCAATTCCAATCTTAATAAGTTCCTCAAAAACCACAAATGTTTTAACATGATTTTGGGTGTATTTTCTTTTATTTTGGAAACAGCATTTTATAAAGCAAAATGTGGTTAAATAAATGGGATTTCCACAAGGCACAGTCTGACAGCAGAAGATCTCTACAGACATCACTGGGCATAGCAAACACCTGCATTTCAGAAAAATGAGCCAGTTCCCTCAGTCCTCCAGTGGCTCACTCCAACTGCAGAGCTGCACGGAGCTGCTGGCCCAAGTGAAGGAATGGTCACAGAGCTGGGAACAGTGCAGGGTTTTCCTGACTAAGGGCTCCTTATCCACATGGGAAACCAGAAGCCCCAAAAATGATTTACATGTTCTTTTCCAGCAACACTGGAACAAACTGTTCTCAAAACAGCTTCCCAAATCCTGTGGTCACCCCAATGAATCACCCAGCTGAAGGTGAACGTCCACTACAAGGTGAGGTCTCCAGGCAAGGTTACCCTGGCAGCCTGGGCTCTGGCTCCAGGGTGTTGTTGAAAGCAATGCCTTTTGCAGAAAATTTCTACCTGAAAGAATTAATATTTTCTGATTGAAACAATTTTCACTGGAAAACACCTACACTCCTCCAACTGAGAATACTGACAAAAGTCCTCATAACAATGCTTATTTTAATCCTGCTGATTGCTGCTTAATGCAGCTGCCATACTAATTTATGAAGATTTTTTAATAAGCAATGCAGATACATTCCCTTCATTAATACTTGCAATTGTAATAAAGTCCTTATATTTCTCAACTGTGACTTAGAAGTTGGATAAAAAAATTATCTAAATAATATTTTTAGACACACTTTTAAAAAAACATAAATTATTTCTAGTATACTAAAGGTTTGTTTACTCTTGTGAACTGAAATAAGTTGCATTGGACAACATTTTTCAACTAAGTTTCTTTAATCAAAGAGAATTCAGCATCTTCATCTAATTAAATGCTTGACTTACTAAAGTGTATTTTACCTCTAGCATGTTTCTTTCTACTATACAAGAAATATATTTTTGCTTACATAGCTTTTAAATCTAAGGAAAGAAAAATGGATTTCCACATCAGAAAAATCCCACAGTTCTGTAAGACAAGTTGCTGATCATAAACACATAAAGCAACAAAGAAGTTCTAAATACATCCCATAAATGGGAAAAATATTACAGATTATTAAAATTTAATGTCAATATATTTTTTAGTTATCACAATTTACATTGTAAAACATTGTGAACATACTTTTGTTAGCTTATTAATTACTCATTGCTCTTGAAAAAGCGGGTAAGATAATTGAAGCAGACCTGATTCTCAGTGTAGCACAGCTTCAGCAGCTACAAACACACTACAGCGGTTTGAATAAACTAGGGATCTAAACCAACAGTTCAAATATTGGTGAGCCAAAGAAAATTTTTCCAAAACCTTTTAATCATCAATGACACAGCAAATTAGGTAGTCACGGAAAATTTTCATGTCAACGTATGGTAAACAATGGAAGTAGAAAAGCAATGTCTTCGAAAATACTAAATAGTTTAAGTCACCCCATGACACTCCTGCAGAAGTCAAATGGTACTGGAGATAGCTAGCATTTTCCCAGTTTAGCTATTTGGAAAAGCCAAGGAAGTAAAAATGCAAGTTACATTCTATTCTACAGATTCAGCAGTGCACTGATCTATTTTTTTGAGTGACATTAAAACTTTGAATTTGGTTGGTACATTATAATATAAAGGTAAACATGTTCCCCTGGTGATATAATCTGAAGAAATATCAATTTAAAAAATCAACTGGAGAACACACTCTCTCTTCTGCTGTTCTTCCCAACATCTAAATTGAAACAGAGAAATGGACTCAGAAGTGAAGGAGTATGTCAGGAATAGGGGTCCTACTACAATTTAATTTTCCCTAAGTGCATAGATGATACCATCCAGATTAACGTGAGTCCTGTGCTATAGGGGAAGTTTGCAAAGTGCAAATGGGAACTCTCAGCTGAGTCACCTTCAGCCTTAATCCACTTATACTGTGATAAGAAATTTGTGGGTTTCAGATGTCAAACCTGTTACTGCTTTATTATATAAAGGTGGGCCAAACCAAACTGCTCACTCATCAATCCAGAAATTTATGAACCCAACTGTGTAGCATCTTCTTAGCTCTAGAGAAGAATAACTGGCATAGAAATAAAGGCATCATAAAACACTAATAACATTCTTTGCAAATAACAGATCCCCATGCAAAGACATGCATTTACTTTTTCTTTCTTTTCTATTCAGTATTTTATATTATAACCAGGGAAAGCAAGCTTGTACTTAGTGTTCAGAAACACCTTGCTGTTACATAGCATGTTCAACACCAGAACTCAATACTGAAAGCTTTTTTCCATATAAGTATGATTGATAAAATCAGCTGTGCATGTCACCTGAGTATCATCAGACTAATTCAAATATTCCTTGTCTTTGCATTCAGCCTACCTTCTGTCTGGAAGAAAGTAAATTTTAACATAAGGATTCCTTGGCCTCCCATCTTCCCTTGAAGGAAGATCCTTTGCTCCCAGTATGGTCACTATTAACTGATGACCAACCTTGTCATACCACAGTTTTATCTGTAGGAAGAAAATGTTAATTAGTGAACACATTTCTACAATGAAGTCATATATTAATCCTTAAAAATAATTTTGCTCATGAGCTTCTATTTATATTGATTACTTAAACAGAATATATTGTATTCTACTTTTCATTTAGAACAAAGAATAAAAATAAGTTAATATTGTAATAGCTTCAGTATATATCAGGAGTTACTCTTTTTTTAAAACCCCGTACTATAAGTACTTTACTTCACACTGATTGTCTTTCACGTGGTGGACTGGTTAGATTATTCTCTCTTGTATTGTATTACTTTCATTACTAATGCATGGTATTCATTTATATACATTTCTGAGGAGTTTATAAACAATGAATTAATTTTTCATCTGCTGTTGTGCTAAAGAGACTATGGGATAAACTCATAAATATTTCATATTACTTAATATTTTTCAACATAAATACACTTATTCTGAAATCATATAAACCCTCCATAAATACTGAGAGGAAGGCTCAATAGTCCAACCCTCTTCATAGTCCAACTCAGTAACAAGGTAAAAAAGGAGTATTATTCATTTGTAGAAATTGTTTTTAACCAGTCTAGGGCTTGATTTGCTATCTTTTTTCACTACAGTCATTACAAGCTTCTATTTAGCTATTTCAGTTTGAATTCTATGACTGCAAATACATCAGCCAAGAAAAGGATATACCTGCTCCAGAGGAGTCACTGCAGAAGGGCTAAATGGTGCACTTAGGGCAAAATAAAGCCTTGCAAATAGCCAGGGAGCCATTACATGGTGGTAGCACTGCAGCATCACTAACTACAGTTTACTGCTCTCTTCATGAGGACTTTGCCTGAGATGGGACAAACTAGGACATTCAAAGAAAACAGTGACCCTGCCTGAACTTAAGGGAATCAGAGAGGATAATGCCCAGCTGCACACCCAACCAGGCAATACACCTCTAGGCATGAATATACCCTAGATAAGGTAGACATACACAGGGGAAGGTGCATTCTGTGGAAACCATCCCACATAATTACAGAGACAGGGTTTTCATCTACTATCATAGTTCCTAATCTTCAACATTTCAGTCTCTTAAAGAAAGGCCTTGATGTAATTCTCAAGACTTTTAACCCATAAAGAGGCTGATTTAGCTCTCTGCCATTCCTAATACTTTACTAAGAGAGATTACACTAAGACACGCCAACTCAGTTATTGGTGGTGATGTACTTCTTCCTTCACTGCTTCAGGTCTTGCAATTCCTATAGCCACCAAGCATTTGAATGGATATTAAAAATTGTATATTTGCCCTCTATTATGCTGTCATTTGCCCTGCTACAGACATTATGGGCTTCTGGAACTAATAGCTAAAGGGCCCTTTGGCTACTCATCTGTGTGTGAATTTTAGATGTTTTCCCTACATTCTTGCAAGCCAGGGGCTTTGACAGTATTTTTTCTACACTGAGAATTATCTGGACTTCTAGCTATCTCCATCTAGCTACAGATCAAAAAGCAGAAAGCTTTGTACCAACAGTACAGCTTTAACGTCCTCTGAAGTGCAAGTCAACTTAAATGTTCTTTGACACTAAATGTATCCACCTGCAGGCCTCTTGGGAGTCCTGAGGCAAAAGACAGAGTTGGCAAGTCCCACATCTCAAGCGGACTAGCACTGAAGATAATCTTCTTTGTTTTCTTTTTGGGGAAAATTATGCTTGCTTAAGGAGAATGAAATACATTTGTGATACAGACGCTATCACAAATTGTGACTGATGAATATGAAATCATCTAGATATAGGTGCCAAAAATAAAACCAGAATTATGTGTTCATATGCAAGCTAAATATTTCTTCACTATATTTGTTTCAGACCAATTCTTTACATGAAAACTTCAGTCAAAATATTTTGAGAATTTTTTAAGCAAAAACTGAAATCATCTGAAACCACTTCATTGAGATGCTTGAAAAACTGTAGTTTGGAACAAGAGCTCAAAATTTGCATTGACTTATACCTTCCACTTTTCTCTTGATGTTCTGAAAAAATAATTGGAAAAACTTGAACTTAATGGGCATATTTTCCCTTAATGTCCTTTAATTTGCCTTATTGCAGGAAAAGTCAGGAATCAGAATTAAGACCAGAAAGCTCTCTCCTGTATTCACACTGCTAGCACTCCAATACACAGCACAGGTACTTGTAACCCAAGCAGTCATTTGACTAGGATATAAGGAGAAGAAAAGAAGAAGCTGTGAGAGAATGGTCAAAGAAGCCCATAGAAGGGAGAATGGGATTGCATTGGGATTAGAAGAAGGAAGAAGGGACAAATAAAAAACTGTTTTATAATTACTGTGAAAGTAAAATAGACAGGATACTTCTTGGTGAAACATGGGAAGAATAATGTCGGGGATCAGAGATTACCAGAAGAGCAAATATAGAATGAATGAGAGAAGTGCTATGAGGTGACAAAAGAACCAGCCATGATAACTGGAACAAAATATGTTGAAAGAGAGACTCAGATGAACAAAAATCTACAAGATTTTTTGTGCACACACACACACACACACACACACACACACACTTTTATAAGCTTAGAACATCTAAGATACTTCAACAAAGCAATCCTCATCTAAGTGAGGAAAAGGAAAGCTGAATTAACAACACATAAAATATGCTATGTAAAAATTTATGCTGCCTGATGCTAATGTGGAGACTAACACCTGTACAAAACCTTCTTGAATGGGACTTTGTCCAGATTACTTAGGATGTAGGTACCTAAAATTCACTTAGAAAGTGGTGCAACCTGAATACTTTCAGAAGTTTTTCCCACTTTGCATTCAAGTCCTGGAGACTAATTAGCCACACACATGCTCATATACTTTCCTTCCCTGGGCTCCTTCACCAGCCAGATATGCACGTAATGCTTTATTAAGCTTCTGCTGTGACCTACATTCAGTCAAACAGGCATCTAAATTCAGTGCATCCTGATACTGAGACGGTTTGTTATTCACAGAGGGGTGCATCTGCTGCACTCCTTGAGACAGGCTGCCTGGAAGGAAGAACTGCCACCAAGGGCAGGAAACAGGAACTCTTCTGCACTCAGATGGTTGGAAGAAACAGAAATGTGGGTTTGACCAGTTTCATTCTTTCTGGGATTTAACCAGTAATGGTCTAATACAAGGGCAGTACTCATGTAGGGTATCAGGTCTGGAGCCTGCTATGCTAAACTTAAGCATGCTTTGATAACACCACACACTTCTATTCCCAGCCAAACAGTATCTCAGCTTCAGATGAGACTTCGTACACCAGAGAATGGGATATGGAATAGCTTGATGGTAAAGGCATTATTTTGATACACAGGTTCAACCTCTTCAGTCTAAACAATATTTAAACAACATATGTCCTGTTTCTGGAATAAACTTCCTACACAGACAACAGTATATAAAAGCTGACTGCTGGTGTTACATTGTGAGAAGTGAGGATGCAGGTATCTAGTATATCTAGCTGGCATTCCTGTTTCACAGAATCACAGAATGGGAAAAGCTGGTTCTCTGTAGTCTCAGTAGAAGGTGCCTTCCCTGGAGAATAAACTCACCCTCTGGAGTAGCCTTAGTTTCAAATAGAGTTAATGGGCTTAGGTGTCTTTTCTTTGCGTTGATCTCTCACTGCAGGAACAAAGGTATTTCTGTCTTTCCTTCAAATGTACAAGAGAAAGCTCTTCCTCAAGGCACCTCAAACTTGTTTGAAGTTAGTATAACAACCCCTACACTAATACACATGTGTAAGGGAATCAGTTAAGAAAATCTAGATAATATTATTGTTGCACTTCCTATACTCCTGTCTCATGAATGTTTGACTGTTTGCTCAACAATGCAATTCTAATGTAGTTCTATGTACAGCATATAGAGACAAAACATATCTTCAGTCATAACTTAGATTTAGAAACAGAGAATATTTGAAGTTTGAAATCCTATGCTACAGTTTTTTCTTTGTTATATAAGGGTTACTTCATGAATTTCATGAAAAAGAGATAAAACTTGTGCCACTGGGACAGACCATCTGCCCTACAGCTGATTTTCACTACCACAACCTACTCAAATATCACTGGCTTTTAAAGACAGCTGGCCAGGCTTTTTTTTTTTTTTTCTTTTCTTCTGTTGCTCATTATAATTTTTCATATAACCTACATAGATGCTTATTATGTTTATTAGTATTTTAAATTATATACTACTTTTCTTTATCACATTATTCTGAAACAAAAGATACACCAATAGTATCTGCTGTTTGAAAAAAAAAATCTGTTTATTTCTAAAAATACTTGCAGTAATCATTTTATTGGACTTACGCTTATGTAGATGCTGAAAGTACCCTGAGGTGATGATGTCTTTGGCATAGCTGAGGCCAGTTTTGAATGTTGTTAAACATACCTTTTAAAAATCCTGAGTACTGAGGGTTGCTAAATCAAACTACTATTGCTTTCTGCTTCAGCTGTTTTCTGATATGCTTGAACAACTGCAAGAAAAGGCTGTCAAATGGAAAAATCTTGTAGGATATAAAGGCCAGAAAATTATAGAAGTATTTAGGCTGCCCTAATGTATATTTCTTTTAAAATCTCTTTTTCAGTAGTTTCACCTTGTACATATTTTTATACATGATCAATTATATTGATGTTCTGTATTAAAGCCAAAAGGATGGCTGAAATTTTTGAAGTTAGAAAAAGCCCAGAGGCAACTCTGGCTCAAAAGAATGCTTTGCCAAGTAAACAAGAGATACTGCATAGAAAACAGAATTTTAAGAACAGATTTTTCCCTACGAAGGTTGATAAAGCATCACTCTGCAAGTTAGAAAATTACTGGCATGCTAAAATGAATATAAAAGTTCAGGAAATCAAGACACACTTTTACAGGTACTGTAAAATTAGTAAAAGCTCAGAGGGCTCTTGATAGGAAAGAAACATTGTTTTCCTTCCCAATAAAATAATGATGAATCTATGAAATCATCCAGCGAGCTAGAGGATGAATGGAATGACATGGAGGGAAGTGTGAAAGAGGGGTTAGTGCCAGAAAGGATCAGTTTCAGACTAACAAGTAAAGAAGTTGCAAGCAAGAATAAAGATATGCATCTCCTGTTTAGAGTGATGAAACAAATAAGTATAAACAGAATGTTTGGAGATTCTCATTCTTGTAAGGAGTTCTACAGACACAGCCCTCAATGAAATGTATACTTCCTGACAGCGATAAACAGCGGCTCAGAGCTCTGATTTAGCTAATTTGTCACGAGAAAAAAGTAACCAGAGTTCTGCTCCTAATACCCTTGTCTGAAGACCATTGGAGAATTCCTCTTCTTTCTGCAGCCTGCATGGTAAATATACCTAATATTAATCATTTTAAACTATCTACTATCACTACTAAAAGTGGGCAGATGGATGACTTTTTATTTCAGACTAGTTGTAAAGATTTTGCCAGGGTCATAATTCTGAGTTCTTCAGGAGCTCTTGTCAAAACCCTTATGTTTACTGTTGACTGTTACTAGGCTCTGCAAAAAAACCTGTTAGACAAGTCCACAAGGACTCCACAGGCACTGATTGTGTAGAGACAAAACTGGGGCTAAGGACAATGCTCATCTACAATACAAAAAATAATGCATCCAATACTTACATCCAAGTGAGTAAGCCTTAAACATTTTCACATCTTGTTAGATATTTTATAACAAATATGACACTTCTTTTCTCAACCACCATAATCATTTGAGCAAGGTTTTAAGGTTTTTTTGTTGTTTTTTTTTTTCATTAGAGGATATTAGTCTAAGCAGAATAGACAATTTTTATGTCTACATCCTTATGTTGTATAATGGGATTAAAATAAGGAACTACTACATGTTATTTCTACATTATGGTCTTTCATGAAACATGCAGGTTTCAGGTAGTGATTTCCTTTTTAAATTGAACAATCAACTCTCACATAATTTTTTAATTTATTTATCACATATGTAAAAAGAAAATAAAGTTTAAATAACTACTTATGTCATATATAATATTTAGCTCTATGAACTACATAACAACTTGTAATTGTAGCCCTCTGATTTCATATCATGAGCAGAATCCAACTTTCTTGATTATGTTTAAGGATGTTTTAGATTTTTCATACACAGCCAGTTTATGTCAATAGCACATAATATGTTAACTTTAAATCATACAATCACGGCATTATTTTATAATCTCATGCTTCTTTAGAAGTCCTTAATTTTGAATTTATATTTAAGCAGTTGTAAGGAATACTTTTGAGAATACTATGTTGTGAAAAAAAAAATTATCAAATATGAGTCATATTTGATGTTTTATTTACAGTCTTAGTTAGAATCCCTTTATAAATATATATATATGTATATATACATATATATACACACATATATATGTATATATATGATCTCTTTTCCATTTCATAATGAAATTCAGTCATGTCTTTCTGATCACTTAGATCAGCCTTTGCATCTTGGTCATTAATCAAAGAAAAACATTTATAAAGCTGCCACACAAAAGTTTAACATCTCCATAAAGATATTCTGTAAGAAAAATCAGATAATATTCTAGTTACAAAAAAAATAAAATGAAAAACATGCAGCAAAGCAAGATAAGCATTGTAACATATTAGTAAAACCTACTTTTGCATAAATCTATAGTACCTTAGGAGCTTCCTAATGAAAAAAGGCAAACAACTTGTACCTAAACGAAATATCAATGCTAAATAAATTCAGTAAGACAACGGGAGAATTCACTTTTTATTTAAGTAGAGTTTTTGTTATTTTGATGTACTTAAAAATGCAAGAACCAAGTTTCATACAGAAGAAATTTGTTTATTTAAACAAGGTACAAATTTTTTGCCCATCCTCTACTCAAGGCGCTACTATTATGTGGAAAATGCAAAAAAATATGTGTTAAGTAATGATAATGTATCATTTAAAGAGACATTCATCTTTTTATAATAAACTCAAGCACAAAATTATTTATTGCTTAAACAATACACAAATTTTGTATGTGGGATGCATTGCCATTGAAACCTGTATAAGTTTAATATTGGGCAGACAGCAAACAAAAACTATTGTCTCTTTAAATTTTATTTAATATTTTAACCCCCATGCAGAATTTTACAAGCTGCTCACAAGATGACATGAAAATCGTTAATATGGTTTAAAGCAACACACTCAAAACATGGGAAAACGGACTATAATGTAACGTTTTCCTACTATGCATTTTCCATAACAAACAAAAGAAAAACCCACAACTTTAGTTTCTGTCAGGCAGACGAAGTCTTTACCTGAACCCTAGGAACAAAAGGCGTTGTTCTTCTACTAAGGCTTTGGCTCTGGTAAGCAAAATTAAAGAAAAAGCAATAAAACAAAACCAAAAAGGACAACACGCTGGAAACTAAAAGACCAAAAGTAAAAACAAAGACACATAACTATTACTTTAAACACAACTTTACACCAACAACATATTTATCTAAAAAAACGTATTTTAATGCAACGCACAAAGTAAATCTGCAAATCTGTTATCAAATCATATCAAAACCCTTTGGTGGAAATTCTTGCCTTAGGGAAGTCAGCAGGAATTTTACTACTGATTCCCCAGGAGCAAGAATTTCTCTCTGCAAGTCTATAGACAACATTTACAATAGATTTAGAAATGACATGTAACAAAAAGAACAGGTAGGCAAAGTGTGATTTAAAAGTGGGGCTGGAAACATAAGTTAACGTTGATCATCTCTTTCAGGGAGATTGCACATGCATATTCAGAGAGAAAAAAGTACAATTCACACACTGACAGCTTTGGTTACTTAGGAAAGTGAGTAAAATAAAAGGTTTTCTCTTTTTTGCAACTTTAAGAGTCACGTCTATGAAAATTCTGCCTAAATACTTGGAAAACAATTAAAAGAAAGTTAGTGCTCTCTGTTATTAACATTACATGGAGAATCTATACAATTATGTATTTCAATTACCTATCAATCATGACAGAAATGACATATGGTATAGACACAGAACCCTTGCATGAAATGGGAGCTAGAGAGTTAAGCAAACTGCATACATAGATGCATTTATAACATATTTTTGTGCTGTAACACTTTGGACCACATACAACCTTGTGGCCTCCAATAGCTACATCAAGACTACATGGAGTACAGGCAACACAAATTCCTGGACTAGCTCCAAATTCCAAACAACCACTCCCAACTTCAGCTCAGGGCAACAGCTAATGGAGCGACACAGAATTGGTACAGAGTGTGGGGCATGGACAGGAAAAAGGCACCTCAAAGAGCTGGTGAGTGGGAGAACAGGAGCACAGAGTAGGTCACAACAATCACAGCCATCTGAGAGACTGGAATCTCCTTTACCTCTGCTCAGTTTTCCTGAGATTATTGATCTAATTCAAAATGATAAAAAGAAGCTACTACTCAATATTCACTTGCATTAGAAATGTACCCAAAGCATGGAAATAGGCACTGTGATGATGCTTCTGCCACCCTCCTTGCTTATTTGGCATGTACAGATGCTGGAGAAATCTGTTCTATAAAATGTGTGAAGTAATCTGTTCTTACATCAAAGAAAGAGGATATATAAGAAAATTTGACAGTCTGGATCACGGGTTTTGTCTGATGTGCTCCCTGCACTCTGCAAGGTGCAGCAGCTGCACTCTACCTGCTACTCTCCATGGGCAGGACTGCAGAGCCCAGTGTTAAGGGTGTCAGAATGTGACCTAGTCACAATAAAAGTAGATCTTCAGCTTGCTTCAGCTTCATTTTACAAGGGGAAAATAAATTACCACAGGATATTGATCCTAAGAGGGACAGAATCTCTCCTACCATGCACCAAGGGTCCTCACCTATCATCTTCTGCCTTGGAAATAGAGGAAAATCAATGCATTGTGTGCACTACCTAGAACTTTCCAGGTTTTGATGTTAGAGCAACAGCAATTCAATTGTATAGAGGTATAAAGGGGAGGAAGAAAAGGAAAAATAACAGGTGAAAGGGGAGAGGTAGCATGAAATAACAGGTGAAAGGGGTAACGAGTTGTTCTTGATGTCATCCCCTCAATGTGCTGACATATAGGCCCTTCATAATGTACAATAAAGGCTTTCTATTATGCTGCATATATTACAACTATAATTTATATAACTTTATTTTTATTGCTTTATAAACTGAATATGAATGGAACCTCTATTGTTGCTCTGGGTTCAAGTGTACAGGGAAATAAATTAATTTTATAAATGACATCCCTTTTCTGCTAGAACTTCCACCAGTACAAAAATTAAATATTGTGATTTTATACTTGTACCCATTTACGTGGTCTTATGTTATTATTCCCTAAACCTAACTATTGGAAAAGCATTTCAAGTTATACTTTTCATGCAGTATAGAAAATGTAGCCAAAATTTAGTAGTTAAACTAAGAGCACCAACATACATGGAATACTTTTGACTTTTTCAAAATTATATTAAAGGAAAAACAACTCAGTGAGAAAATACAGAAACAGGAATGAGACAAAGCAAATAATAAAAAACTGTAATTGCAATAACAGTCAGATACTCCCCTGAAAAACAACATGAATAAAAAGTGCTATAAAATAAAACACAGAAAATATGGATAAATTATATTAGTACATTATAACACACAATAGTTTACTGTAGGTGCACATGATTTGTTCAATTAAATAAGTACTTGGGCAGAATAATTATTAATGTAAAGAAGATTTCTTGTCTATGTGGGACAGTTTACTTTGTGGTCAGTTCTATTAGTCAGCTAGACTGACACTGTAACCTCCATAAAGAAAACACTTACACAGACCAATGCCAATTCAGAGGAAAATATGGAAGGATGAACAGAGAGAAAAACATCCCTGAGTCCTACAGTGGCATTGCTGCAGCTAAACCAGCCAAAAAGCATACTAAACATAAAGAAATAGATTCCAAAATGCTGTTAATATCTAAAGATCCTTTAGGGATCTAGAGCACTGTCTGACTAAGCCTATATTCAAATATGCAAATACTTCAGACTTTCATCCAAACTGTTGAGTCTGTATTTCTGCCCACAGCTCTTGCATTTTACTGCTTACATGTCAGTTACCACAGCTGCACTAACAGCAACCCTTCTGGACTACATGCTACTGTTCAAAGGCACAGAAAATATGGAAAACACTTCCAAAACCTTGCCTTTCATCTGTTCCCTCAGATCCGTCACACCTGCTTGAATTTGGCCACCATCACCCAGAATGCCATTGACCCATAACTTCCACAAAGAACAGCATCCTGTCCTCATTTATTGCCAGGATTCTGCAGTTATTCTCCTGTCTAGGCACTCCTCATAAAAGAGCACATTCACAATTACATTCAGAATTTAGTATTTCCTTTCATTTCTACCTTACTATTTTGAATGAGTATGTGATCCATCAACTGTTCTGTTAGAAAAGAGATGATTAAGACATGGAAAACCAAAATACTGAAGCACAACCACACTGTAGCATTCAAAATAAAATATTTTTTGTAACTTGACAAGATTTTTAAAGTTCAGTTTTACCTTAATACTTCACCTTTGTTAAAGGTCCAAAATTAGAAAATCTCAGAGTCCATTCTAAGTTTTCAAAACAGCTCCAACTTTACAAACAGGATTTTTTCACTAACTTTACAAAGTTTCAAAACTTCTAAAAATTTTAGAATTATAAACCCAAATATTAAAAAGTGAATGAAAAACTATCTATCATACTACTTTCAAGAACATAAACACCCAAATCTGATGTCACAAAATTTTTCATTTTTCAAAACTATCTTAAAGTATGAGATCAAACAGAAACTACATTGATTGTTTTGAAAACACTGTTCCTGTAGAATACTTCAATTCTCATAAAGTCCTCTATTTCTAAAAATGCATATTAGCATATACACTGCAATTTGCCCATGTTGCCACCTATCCAGAGCATCTTCACACACTATGACAGCCACCCTTGCTCACAAAGCAAAAAGTTTAGTACTTGCCTCCCCAAGTCTTGACTCAACAGCAGCAGGAACTGGACTGTGCCCTTAAAGTGATTAACATGAAGTACAGCTATTTCCAATGTTTCATTAGCTAGGCAGACAAGCATCCAAACTTTTGAACTGTCTACTAATCTTAGATGTCTAAATTGCAATATTTGAGAGTTACAGAGTATTTCTGACTTAGTTTCACTCAGCTGGAGCTTTGTGTTCTCAGACAGATATCAGCTGCTCTCTGAGGGAAACACAGATAATATATAATAGGGAGTATTGAATGTAATTGCAAAAAGTACATAAGGAAGTATTAAAAAAAATAGGAGAGATTTTCTAATGTCTCTTAGAATTATTTGGTTTCCTTAGATGGAAAGAAACCTTTCAGAATAGGCATTTATATATTGAATCATTCAAAAAATAAATAAAAATAGGAATTATGCCTTCTTGAGTTTAACACTGAATTTTATATGCCATTCTGAGAAATAAAACCTTGGATTTCTCAATATTTATTTTCAATAAATTAGAATATACCTCAAAATTTTCCAATGTTATGATTATATACCTCAAACTTCAGTGTCCAATCAAATCACTAAATCAAAAGACATACCGACTTCACTAAAAAATCCTAATCTTAAACTCATGATGATTTTGATCTGAAACTGAGAAAGTCAGCAAGTCATTTCTATGTGCTTCCTATCTGGACAATTACTCCATAGTGTAAGTGCACTGGTCACCTGAGCAGCTAACTCCGGCTCTTGAATTTCCTGCTGGGAGCTAGACACCACAACTTTTTGACAGCCTAATCTTTTATGAAGTTTAGACAAAAGAAATTTCTTTCTTCCCTGCCTCCTCTATCAAAAATCTTTATTGTCTTGTAAAAATAAGAGGGTGTTTAGAAACTTTGGTCTGTGTATTTTGACAGTTCCTGTTCCCTTGTCATTGTATTTTTGCAAAGCACTCTGTATTCTACAATCAAGATTTTTAGTTTTTCATTTGTCCAAAGGATTGAATCTTTCAAAGTTGTTAAGTACAACAACTACAGAAAATAAAAAATTATATAGTATAAATGGTTGTTCTGATGAGCAAACAAATAATGTCTCATGCACTGCAAAATGGAGCCAACATGGCCACTGAAGAGACAAAAATATTCTCCACCTCCTCTATCAATACCATAAACCATTTCTGTGAGACCTAGAAACAGTCTGCCTGGCTTTTATGCATATTTTTATGGTACACTCAACATACACAACTTGGATGTAACATGAATGTGACATTTCCAAACTTGTTTAACACCAATTTTATACTGCTTCCATTCCACTTGTCTTTCCTTTTCAATATGTCAGGCCACAACTGAGCACTTTTGAAAAATCACACTTCAGAATTGTAAATAACATGAAAAGGTGCACAAAACCCAACTTCTTCAGTTTATTACAAAAAAAGTACCCTTTAAAATTCACATCATGAACTTCTCAGTGAGAGTGAAGAACAAAAGTGCGTAACAGCAGTACAAAGAACACAACATGAGTAAAATGTCAGAGGGCTATCTGGGGAAGTTATATATGAAAGTTAGTGCATAAGAAATAAGCAGTCATAACATCCAAGCACATAGGTAATAAAATCTACCAACTCTACATGTAAGTGTGACAGTTGATAAAATGTTTACACTCAACAGCAAAAATATAACTGGAGGATGAGATTAGATCTTTCCAAAAATTTGACTCCACCAGCCTAGCTTACCAGATAAATATACATGTATATACCAAATTAAACTCATATAAAATTTCCAAAAGCTAATAAAATGGAATATGATTATGAAATTCTGTTCCTGCCTAGGCTGAGATGTATAGCATTAAACAAAAAAGGTAGCTAGTTTAACAAGAAATTTCTATTATAGGCAGTTAGCACTACAGTAAGAGTTGTATATGCTGCAAAAAGCACAACATTAATATCAATGAAATGTTTACATACTGAAAGTTGTCCAGACAAGAACTGTGGGACATCCCTTAACATGCCAGGACTCATAGGAGAAGTCACTGAAATAGAAGGTCGGTCCATTTTTTGAGATTCAAATGAACTAGAACCTGCAATTATAAACAAAAATATTTTATAAATAGTAGTAGTTATGCATATATTTCAACATTTTTAAAATAGAAATTGTAGAAATGTAACCAAACATGCAGTAAAGCTGTGGTAAACACAACTCTTTTTACTCTATTTAAAATTACCAAATAATGGTACTTAATCTTTTGGTGCTCAGATGCAATCAAGAGCTTTTATTTATAGAATGGTATATAGATTATTCAAATATTTCTGATTGCAATTATCAGTAAGTTGAAGGCCCTAAACTAAACACTTCACTGTGGTCAAATGAATTCAGTCTTCTTACTTATTATCTTGTACAATCAGACTAATTTTTAATTAGACTTTTACAAAAATATGAATATACTTTTTGTGCATTTTCTTTAAAATCTACAAGGTCTGAAAATGGTCAAAGGACAAGTTTTGACATAGAAAACATAGAGGAAAAGTAAAGTATTTTATAAATACAAAAGACAATCCACATCTCACAAAACATAAAATGAATTTCAATAATTGGGTAATGAGTAAAAAGTAATTTTTAGGAGTAAAGTAAAAGAGTTTCTCATATTATTATAATCAAGCTTAAGTAGTTTCATTTATTCATGGCTTTTATTATAATAGTGTTACAAAACAATGATAAAAATTACTTCTGGCTGAAATCCATTTTATCAGATCTAAGACAAAGAACAAGTTATTTTTCTTTACATGATATATGAGTTTAGTCAATTTAAGTAGCACTGAGTAGCTCTAATAAACTAAGGGTATTCTGAGTTCAAAGTATCTATCACTCAGGCTGTAAACAAACATTTCTTTCCTTTTTTTAGTTTATAAGATGCAAGTGAAATGCAAAGCAAGAGAAATTAAAAATTGCTACTAATGTTCTTATATATTAGCATGAATCACACTTTCTTTAATTGAAACTCATCTAAGCTTATAACCAATGTTGAACCTAAATCACAATATCCTGAGTTTTGATAGTTTATTATTATACAAAGTAGATAGGTAATACAGTAATATGACATATTGAGACAAATACAGACAAAATGACAAGACCTATACTGACTGCAGAAGACATTGTTCATTCTCTTTGTGCTTACATAAAAGAGAGAGAAGATTTTCCTACCCCACAATTGAAACTTACTGGACTCCAGCTGTGCATGTGTGCTGTCAGGTATTCTGGGAATGTCCCTGAAATCAGGAAAATTAAGACAAGCTGATCCTTTATCTAACAAGCATATTTAAATTTCAGTTACACTATAACACTTCCCAATCCACCATGGAATGCCTCAGGAATGGTTCATGATATGCCGGCTGTCTTCAGCCACTGGGATGATTATTTGTTATCCAGTATAAAAAATTTCAGCGTCAAATTAAATCCTACAGAACAGATTTGGTGGATGCAGGAGACAGGCTGCACAGTCACAAATAAAATAACTCAGTAAATAAAAGAACAATCTCAGAGTTAATGGTAGACTAAAAGTGTGAGTAGTAGATTTTACAATAACGTTGTACATTAATTAAATTTACTGGACCCTCACTCAAACATACTTGACTGCCAATCATGGCTATCCCAGTATATTCTTTACTATCCTTGAACCACAAATTTAACAAATTTAAATCAACCAATTTAATCTTTGGTTTTCCATAACTAAATAAAATGTTCATTTGGCAAAATTGCATTCTTTCCTATATAAGACATGTTGCAACACCTGTATTAAATTGTGTGCAGAGCCAGTTAATTTTAAAACACGCAATCACATCCCCCCAGATAAAGGAACATATTCTTCCTCTGATGGGCAAACATTACTGTATGCTAATAAAAACTATCAATATGCTAATAATTTCAGAGCTATTTGTGCAAAACCAAGATGAAGGGCTTCAGTTCTGAATCACAATAATACTAATATTTACAATTGTGTAGTGTGTTTCAGTGCAGTTGGGTTCTCCAAGGCCACAGCCAGTCCTGAGGGATGGCCATGGTGAGGAGAGGCTGGGGCTGCACCATGCTGGCTCCTTGGGTGCCTCTGTGATAACGTATTTAATAAAGGATGAAACCACTGTGCAGCGGCTGGGAGTGAAAACAATGAGAATAAAAAGCCATGAGGAAAATGCTGTTGCACACAGCAAGGTCAGGGAAGAAGGTGGAGGAGAAGGACTGGCTGCAACTCCCTTTCCCCATGCCATGGACTGCTTGATGGAGAGGGAGGCAGAAAAAACAGGAAAAAATGAGTGGATTTGAGCCTGGGAAGAAGAGAGGTAAGGGTAAGGATGCCTCAGTTTTGGTTTCATTTCTCACTGTTCTTCTCTAGTTAATTTCTAACAAATTAATCTTCCTCAAGTTTGTTTTGCCCACGATGGTTACTGCTAAGTAGTCCATAAGCTTTTTTATCTTATTTCCTCCTGCAGCCGTTCTGAGGAGGGAAGTGGAGAGAGCAAGTCTTTGGGGCTCAGTCAAGGTCAACCCATCACAAAGGTAAATGAAAAGGAAGGGGAAAGGAAAAATGTTCTACTGTCTCATACAGAGTCAGTATGATATATAAATAACTTATTTCCTTTAGAAAAGTTTTTCCAGGATATCTTTAGTATATATTTTCCAAACATTCTTCAAGACTCACAAGAAGACAGCTCACTAAGCAGACTGAGGAATCTTTCCAAGTGAGTTGAAGCGCAGTATCCAATAATTGAAACAAATCAGAAGGCATGAAACTGCTCTAAGTGCCCACGACAGACAATAAAAAAATCTCTGTTGTTAGTACCCAAAACTTGTGAGAAACTCACAAGCACTAGTGAAGAAGCAAATATTTAAGTTTGCATATTTGATATAAGGAGAATTTATAACAGGATCCAATACTCGCCTAGTAATTGACTCAAAAATATACTGTTGAGCTTAACTCATAAATACAAAATCTTTCTTCTACCATGTGAGTCTGAAAAGAAAACCTTGAAAAAAAGATATATAATACATAAACCATTCTAAACAGCATGAGTACGAGTTTTCTATAGATAGCTGAAAAAATAAACTTGAGAGCTTTGAACATTATCCTTTATGCTCCTAAAGCATACAGATCCCCATATTTCATGGTACTGTGAATGGTATTTCTAACAAGGAACTCTCATGGAGATAAACAGATGGAGGAGAAGTAAAATTAGTTTCATAAGGACTCTGCATAATAAGATATGTTCCACTGCAAACAGGTTGCATAGAGTAACTATTAAACACAGTGCATTATTTCTTCAAAATTCAAAAGTGAAGAAACCATTAAAATAACATGCATTTTAAGTTATCTGTTTCTGAGAATTAGAAGGCAGAAAATAGCTAAGTTCCTATGTATAAGTGACAGCCAGCTCACACTGATTAGCAACTTGGCCATCAATTTTTATTTTAAGATGTAAAAAGTGGTACATTGCATTACAAACTGTTATGTTTTGTTTTGTTGGGATTTTTTTAGAATGGCTTTCAATTTTATCTGCCTTGTCAGCTTAGCTTTTCGTCTTCAGTTTTCATAGCACTCAGCCCATAATAAACAGAAAAACTAATAATTATTTATTGGATTTTGGTTTTGTTCTCAGAACATCAGGATGTGACAACAGGTTCTCAGCTAAGTTAATTGCTGGTAACTGAAGATTTCTTGCACAATTTGAAGTGTTGCCATGAAACCATCAAGAAATTCTCCTCATAAATAATAAGGTTTATCTCGATGCAAAAGCAAAATCCTTCAACTGGGCATCAATAATCCTAATAAAAAAATATTACTTCTGATATCTAGAAAATAAAAACTTTCAAATATTGTACATACACTGAAACTTTATTTTTCAGAGCAGAACAAAATCCTATGAAGTTATGGTTCCTTGGACAAGCATAGGCTATTAATTTTTATTGTCCATTTGATTATGAACCGGAATCTTCTAAACAGAAAAAAGTAATATAGTCTTTCCAGTTCATCAGCTCCAACCTCATGAAAAACATTTTGGACATTATGCAGTTAATATTAAACTCCAAAGAGTTACACACACCTAACCAGAATCTAAAACCTCCCAATTTTACAAGTAGGTAAGTGTTCATCACTGAGACTCTTTTACATCTACTGCAAAATCACTCTGGGAATCAAATACACTGAATTCTTTTATCAGTGATCTAGCTCAGTTCTTCAGACAATGAGGCAAGTGTTTAATACAGGAAAAGGCATCTTGAGAGCCCACACCACCTTGTTAAAGGAATTATGAATGAGCTGCTCGAGTGACAGCAACATAACGGAAGACATGATGATAAGGAAGCTGAACAAGAGACAGCAAATATAAAAGCACAGGAAATAATACAAGAGATTTTACACAATGAAGAGAATGCAGAAAGATTAAAAAAAGTGTGTATTTTCAAGACATGAGTGATTTGTTCCTTGAAACTTTTGCTATAAACTTCTGTCTGAGAGATACTAGGAAAGACCTGTGTATGAATTTAATTTGAGACCTTTTCTGAGACAAGTGATGTAGTCTGTCCCTTTGCATTACCACTATACCCACACCTCCCAAGTTATGCAAAGTTTTTTAATGGTAGGAAAGATGATAAAATCTTTACCCTAAAGGAATTGCACTTCCATATGTATGCAGGAGATAACCTCTCATCTCACTGACAAGAGAAAGCTTTTTTTTTTTCTGTTGTTATCAAGTTTGTTTAAAATTTTCATACCAAATTAAGTTCCTACACCTTAAGTTCCTGATCAATACAATAAGTTCCTGTTATAGCTGAAACTTCATCCTCACTGAAATGTCATTCTCAGATTATATTGTTCTAGATTTTTTTAGCATTTCTTAATTTTCAGTCATGTTTTCTTATATTTCTTATATTTATTAAAATATTCTTATATTTATTAAAAGGTAAATATAGAATCCTAAAACTGTCCAGTTTAGAAGTGACCTTGAAAGATCATCCAACCTAACATGGAAAAGGGAATCTAGATGTCGTTACCTATCACCCTGCCCAGTTGTGTCCTGTATATCACAATAAATTCTGGGGGAAAAAAAGAAAATACTTAATAATTGTAAATATATTCAAAATCAGTGATAATCATTACCCTCTTCATAACCCTGATGTGAGCATATATGGAACTTCCAATGGAGAATTAAAAACATGATGCATATGGCTTTAGGGTGTAGGAACTTGGAAGAAAAAGAACAGTTGAAGAAGGGGAAGTACTCCAAGTCCAATACAACAAAGCAACTACTGCTATGCAAGAAAAAATTAAGTTTAGACATTGAGAGGTAGGTTTGAAGGTTAATAAAAATGGGCAATGTACAGAGCCAAAGAAAAAGTCCCACACGGTTCTAACTATTCATTCAGATGTGTTCTGTATTAGATAACAAAGAATCATTTAATAGTTCAATAGATTAAGAAGATTTGAATGTGGATTTGAGACTTTCCAAAGCATATTGAATTTTTTCATTAGCATACTATATTTCACACAAAATTCTACATTGCAGACTCTCAATAAATTGAGTTCATCATCAGTTCATAGACCAAATATGAGCTCATAATTTTATGTATGTACTACAGAAAATGGGAATGGAGAAATAAAAATCAACAGTCAAGAATTACAACAAATATAAGCACAGTTTCAGAGCCAATATAGGCTCTCTCACCAACTGAAAAGCCAGGGAAGGGAATCTATTTTTAACCATAATAGCAGATGATACATGAGTCTTCGAGAAAACATAATTTCACACCAGCTCTTTTTACTCACTGGCATGTTCTATCATTTTAGATACAATTTTGGTTTACAGAATATTACGTAAGATTTTCTGTTTACAATGTTAATGAATATTTGATATACTACATCCTAAAAGTGAACAATTTTATCATTTTTAATATAAAAAACATATGAAGTTACTTACCCTATTGGTCTTGAAACTACTAGTTCTACTTGTGGCTCAGGTTTGGATTCTAAAATAATATTATACACCTCCTCAAAGGTGGCTCCTTGTAGTATCCTTCCATTCCATTCTAAGACTTCATCACCTGTAAGTCAGTAACACTCTGCTTAGGAAGTTTGCAGTCGACAGCACTTACAGTAACAATTTAAGCCATTCTAGTGTCAGGTTTTTGGATTGTGAAACATGTGTTATAGAACAAGTTTGGAGGCCTTCATGCAGGAAAATCCTGGTATTAAAGGTTTAGTGCAGCTCAGCTTCAAATACCTAAAGTTCTGTGAAACAATAATATAATCAGTAGGACCCCTACTGAGTTAGATGCTGCTCTTACTCGCTTTGGCAGCTGTGGCTTACAGAAATACCAACATGCTCTTTAGAAAATTCATATCTAAAACATCAGAGCTCATCAACTTACTGTTTTGGAGATCCATGTACTTTTACAAGCATAGTATCTAGAGTTCAGACAGTTCTTATGTTAATAGCTAATATTTCTTGAACATTTTCCATTCTATCAATCTACGGTTTGCATTTTGGAACAGAAGGAGCTTCCTAGCCAAGGTGGCTCTGCTCATACATTCGTAATTGGTTGGTTTGCTCTGAACAAAATATATACCGCAAAATGACTGGGGTGGACATCAACGGACTATTACTTTGAGCACAAAAAATGAGTAAAAATCTTAAAATATTTTTTGAACAACATGAGAATATATATTTCACAAAAGCAACCATCTATATAACAGCATCATGTTGAATTCTGCAGTATTTGATCACATCTATTTAATATAATTTCACATGGAATTAAATTTGCTCACTTGTTATCACCTTCAGAAAAGCAACTCAGCAGTAGAGATCTATAGCAGATACATACCTGGTCTAAGATGCCCCACTGTATCAGCTAAGCTTCCTTTTTTAACTTTGGTGATAAATGCGCAGAGTCGACCTGATTCAGTCATCTTTCCTCCTACTACCTGTTTCAAATAGGAAGTATTTTCATAGTATGAAAATTACTTTAAATTATTTAAGTGTTCTGGAAATAGAAGAATTACGCTTTTTCTTTGGGTTTTATGTACTCCAGGTAATACATACACACTTGAAAAAAACACCATAGAAGTTTGGCTATGACAAGTTATTTTTGTAGCTATTTTGGCAATTTGTACAATTGAAAAACAATGGAAATAGAGAATCCTAAATCTTTTAATTAAAAAATAAATATATGTATAGTAATTCATATTATAAATTACCATCCAAAACTATATAAGGTATTGGTCATTAGATTGCCCACTTCACTATTTGTTTAACTGGAAAAAGATATATTAATATAACAGAACTCAGGTTGTTCACACTAAGCAATGAAATTCCCTTTGGCTTGGAAAGTCACATGAAAACACTTGTCACACTGAAAATTTTTCTACAGGGAACTTAAACAGGTTTGACCTTAATATTTATCTTAGAATCAGACTTACATGTCAGAAACAGTCAAAACTTAATAATCTTCAAATTCTTAAGGTTTCTTAACAGTCTTCATACTGGGATTTAAAATTTGAAATACTAAATCCAGTTTAATTTACTTTCAATATGTAAATACTTGAAAATTCAGGCAAGGGATAACTGTTGGAAATCACTCTTTTTACTGTATTGAGAGTAAAAAGTAGTTACTCTTTAATCTGAGCTATTAATGAATTTCACTCAAGAGTTCATCTTTATAATATAAGATTTTAGAAATTTTAACATAGATGTTTAAACCAAAAGTGCTTCCTAATGGTACCATTAATCTCTTCTCTTGCATTTTCTGACAAAAAGACAAAAATAAACATATAAAACTTCATGTTCAACTGGCTTCTTTATTGACTTAAAATAAAATAATTTATTAATTAAATAAAAATTTTAAATACTTCCAAAACTTGTTAGTATATGTAATACAAAACTACACTGATTTAATCCTTACTCATAGGGTGTGACTATAACCTCATCTGTATACCTGAGGTGAAGTAAGAGTCATGCTAAATAGAGAATGGAAAATTTAAACTTCTTAATAATGTCTCACTGCAAGGATTTGGAATGAAAATAAATACATGTTTGTTTCTTTTACTGTTCACAGTTTGTTCTCATGCTTGTCCTAGTATTTCTGGAACTGCAAATAATAATACCACACAAAATTGAGATCAATATATGAGATAGAAATAATTCATAATGTGTTTAAAGAGCACTGCATCATGAAAAAGAGGTTAATACATTAAAAAAAAATTGTGATAAAAACCAATAATATTAAACTATTTTACATTCAGTGTTTTTTAAAATGTGGCAAATCAAACAATCAGAGGAGAAAAAAATTAAAAAATATGAAGTTCCATTGGCATACTCTGATCTGGACTAAAATGTCGTTAACTCACAGATGTCCCCCAGGTCCTCAAGAGAGATAATTTGTCTTTCCCTTTTCTTCTCTTTCTTGGGAAATAGAGGTTATACCATGGTGCAAAGCTCCATACTGAAGACAGACTGGACTTGGCTTGCCTAGCAATGGTGCAATTAGTACTTTTCTAAGAAGACATTCTCAGAAAACTTGTGAAAACATGTCTAGTCTTTCAATTTTCAGTTCTGCCAAGGACACTGCAAAATTACTCTAGGTAAATGACTATAAAATGTCTATATTGAAATTTTGAGAATGATAAGGCATTATCAATATTGGTATGCATACACTATATAATATGAGAATACTTTAGTTCTAAAAGTAGCTAGTTTAACTGAGAGTTGTTATTTTCAAAAATTGTTCATCACCAACCTTCAATCCAAGCATTGCTCCTGAATCTCTAGGCACACTTCCATCTTTTAGTCGTTTATTTAACAAAATCCGACCAATGAGACGATCTCCATCTTTGGATGGTTGCCAAGTTACTGGATGCTATGGAAATGATGTTAATGGAAAATACAGTAAATAGTATTTTAATGAAAAATATTTCAGTAATACTTTTCATTTGCTGATATATTTTAAAAATGCTATGAAAGTATTATGATTACACTCATATTTAATGTAAAAAATGACAGAAAACTTTGCTGGAAAATATTTATTTGGACATATCATTTATCAAAATGGATGTCTAATATTTAATAACATTATCTATTTTACTGAATCCAATTTGTAAACATCTAGAATGATCTTTCAATCTTGATTTGACAGATATAGACAACTACACATAGTTATCTAAACACAATGAGAATCACATCTGAGTACTGAGAAAAACAGCTAAAATTCTACTCTAAGAGTAATACTGGAAAAGAAGTTTAGCTCAAACTGAAAGTTTGATATAAGAAATGTCTTATTTTTCCACTACTTCAAACATTTCAATTTTTATCCAAGACCAACAAGTATTTTTAGTGTTTTACTTTCTCTCAGTAGTAGTAGATTAAAAATACTATTAAAAGTATATTCATTACTTCATTTTCATGTTAGTTTTCTTTCTTGTTATTAATTCACATATGAAGCATAGTTACAGTGGGCATTATTATTCCATCACTATACATGGGCACAGTTATACTTGTCTATTGGCCTAATTAATGAATTGTAAAGATTTTCTTTCGTGTAATCATAGTACTTTTTCACGGAAAAATATTATTTCATGCTCTATTTCATGCAAAATTAGCAGGCACGGATAAATCTACTCCCATTACAACTAATAACTCTAAAAAGATTTATCATAATCTCCACCAAACAGAAAGCAAAAATAAAAAATACCAAAGCAGATGGCAAAGCCTTTGATTCTGCACAGTACTGCACAAAAATTGCATGGCAACAAAACAAATGAACAACCATGACAGTGAAAGGGAAAAAAGAAAAACAACTTTTCTGTGCAGAGAGACCCAATTTTCTCCCTTTTTCACCTGGGGTTTAAACTATTAATTTAATTTCAGCCCCAGGAGTTTGGAAATAGTAAATCAAATAAGCCAATTGGTAGAATCCTTATTGTTAATTACTTTGTTCTTTAAGGTAATATGATATTCTAATTTGCAACCATAAAGACAACATTCCTTTATGCCTCTCTTTTTTTTTTTTCCTTAGGCTGCCAAACAGTAATAGCTGCAAGCATGCAAAGACTTTTCATTTGTTTTTCTTTTCTGCACCTTAAAAAATGCTATATTGTCTCTAGACACACCCTATCTTTTATTTTATGCACTATTTTAATGAGTGACAGAGAGCAAACAAAGACCAAATGAGCAGGTTAAAATGCAGGCTCAGTAATCTCAGTACCTTCTCACTATGGCTATGTTCCTCGTTTAGAGTTGTGCTACTACACGTATCTACCCCAGAGTCTTTTATCTGAGGCTCAGACCATTCCAAGTCCTCTTCCAAAGAGTGGCCACCAAAGCACACCATTTTCTTTTGCCTCTCGGATAAGGTGTTAGAATCCGACAAAACTGCCTGCTCCCTAGTTTTTCTTTTTCCCCTTTGACTGTCCCCTATAGGTGTGGGATAAAAAAAGGATACAAAAAAGAAAACATGCAAAGGTGTAAATAAAACCAAGGAAATGTAAAATGATAAAGGAAACTAAATGGTAAGGCTCCACATGTCTCACCAAAGACATTGGGGATGCCTCACTGCTATGCCAAGACGTATGGTCCAACCAGTTGTATTCCATGTCTCCTGCGAGAATCAGACAGACAAGATAGTGCAGTAAAGGAAAGGTGAAAGAAAGGACAAACAAAGATACAGTAAAATTGTAAAGACTTCTGATTATCCTATCTGATTCATAACCTCTTCCAGCAGGACTTGCAAAAGGCTTCCAAGAAAAAGTCAAGGCTCCAACAACAGAGTACATGGAATATGAAAAACAGTGAGGAAGGAGATACATTTGTGCGTGTCTATTTGTGCATAAAATTATGTACAGTGCAAAGCATCACTGTGCCAGATTTATTAACTGTCCCTATAAAATTATTTACAGTAAATTAAATGAAAAGGCAAATTGTATTTCTAACAGAATATCCAGAAGGGAAAGCATCTGAATACAGAATGTCTTAAGGAACATACTTCTTTGCTTTTCTAACACAAATCAGTATTTATTCTAATCACACCAATAAAATACTTAAAACCATGGCACTCTGTATTCACTTTGCAGTAGATGATATTTTAAGGAAGGTTAAATGAAAAAAAATCTGGAAACTATATTGAGAATAAAAAACATATTACCTTCTTTTGTCTGCTGGTTAAATACAAAGATGAATTCTAGTAAGTACAGGAACCCCACAAACGGGAGTGTTTATGAATGTTTATATGTTTTTGACAAAACATATAAATATTTCACAGAGTCAGAATTTAACCTCCATGGCAGACACATGGTAGAAAGAAAGGTTTGAAAAACAGTTTAAGAAGATATCTAAATTAATGCTGCTGTCCAAAGAATTGGGAAATGACTAATGAATTTCAATAAAACATTCTCTTTTATGTAGGTACTTTAAACTGTAAATTATGCCCACATGTTCTGCACTATTACGTTTCTCTCATTTTTCTTCCCTCACCATTGCTACTACATGTTACATAAAAAATATTTTGTAACTGTATGCTACATAATATTTTTATATTACTGTATGCATGAAACAAATGTTTCATTTTCTATCAAATTTGATCAAACTAAAGCAAAATAGCTCAGAGTTTTTTCTCTTCAGAGCCTATTTCTGTTACTTCAGATCCTGCCTTAACATTGCTCAACCTATTCTTCTGGAATTATATCAGGGTGGTGAAATGTAACTAACAAGTCTTAGCACTGTCTTAACACTTGTCTAGAAAACTTTAAAGAGAGGATGTGAAGATACAGCCCCATAAAACTACAAAAAACTAATAGATGCTTTACTTAAGTAAAACATTCTCCTTAGAGAGACATCACAGAATTAACTAAATTGGAAGATCCCCTTGGGATCATTAAGTCCAACCTAGTGTATTGTATATGTACAATGAGAAATACAATTTTTTCACTTGTTTCCTTTTAAAATAGAGACTTGCATATGCTGCATGGAAAAAAAAAGTCTCATCTCATTTTCATTTTAAAGAAGGAAATACTCAAAATACAAAGGCTTTGTTTTCAAAAAGATACTTTGAATTTAGTTCCTTACACATTGCAGAAATCTTGTAGCATATTAAATAGCCTTTTCTTTCATAAAAACTGTGATAAAGAAACTTGATAAAATTATTTTGAGGCCTCAATTAATTCCTATTTTCTAAATAATAAATAGGCTGTAAATCTATTAACAATGTTTCTTGACTCTTGAAAGGTAGGTAACATTTCAAAATGGGAAATTCTTACCAAAACTGCTTTTCCGTGAATGTTAACATCTTGCCTGTACTACAGATAAAAGTGTGGCTATCCTGCTAAAAGGGAAAGAAATAATCTTGAAAACTAGTAACATTTTGCTGAAAGTACTTCTGCAATGGAATTTCCAGTGCTACTTTTGCCTCCAGACATTGCTTCAAGTGGTACTCAGTGAAATCATCAGTGAGTTCATGAAGATCTAGCCCTTACTCATAAATATACATTTAGAGATATCCAGAAGATAGCAAAAATTCCAGCCTATATTTTTTCTGGTTTACAGATTTCCTTTAAGCATTGGTCCCAGGCTCATCTGCTGGTGTAGCTGGTTTCTGCTTACTCCAAGTCCTCTTACCCATTTATTACTGTATGGTGCAACCACAAACTGATCAAATGATGAGCCCTGGAACTAAAGCTGCACAGATGAGCACTTGCAAAATTGAGCCTGTTAGCTGATAAAAACACTCCCTCTTCTTGCTTGACAATTTTCCCTTCTTGTCAAACAAGATGTAGAAGGCTGACTTTCTTTTTATTTTAGTTGTGTCTCACAGTAAATATTAAATAATTGGCATTTATAAAATGAAAATTAAATGAAAATAAGCAACAGCTCCATCCAAACACTGTTTTGGTTTTATCCATGTGAAATATGTAGTTACTTATTTCCAAAAATTATCATATAAATTAGAAAAAGCCATCATAAAGCCATTGTAGATATTATAGATTTTGCCCTTAACACTGCATTAAGTGATTTAAATGACAAGCATAAATACTATGCAAGTTAATAAAAGGATGGTTGTTTGGAAGCCCTGTAGTGTATTACATTTCTATGACAGACATTTATGTCTTAATACATCTACAACTTTTTGAAATACAATGAATGGCTTGATAAAGTCACTGGACATAAATTTTTCAGTTCAAGTTCTATAAACATTAAAATCTTGACTAGGTAAATGATATTTGAAATCTTGTAAACTTAAAAGTAATATATGTAAAGCATGTAGGTCTTTGCCTACAAGAAAAAAAATAGAAGTAAATAAAAAAAAAGTAAAGAAATAATAGTATAAATATATATAAATATATATAAATATATATAAATATAAATAAAATAAACCATCATCTTTTTTAACAAAGACACCGTAGTTATAACTGAGTACCAGAGAATGCACTTGCTGCTCTCTTAGAAATTTCTCTTCCACTGCAGAAAATACTTTATTATTGAGAATATATACATTTAGGGTATGCAGCAAAAATTACTCAGGAAATAAATGTCACATAAGCTGTAATATCAAAACCATCATTCATGGAAAAAGGACCTAATGTATTACTAAGGAAGATCTAATCATAGTTTACATCATTATAACAATATTCAGATGCCTTGTGAGTTCAGGAGTGCAGCTGGATATAGGAAAGGACATATGTGAGGTCTGCTCTCATTAATGTCAATGAGTTCTGTGTGTATATAGAAAGCTTCCATGGACAAATCAGACTGGGAGAACAACCACATCAGTAACCTAGACTTTCTGTAGAAAGATCTAAGCTGTAGAAAGATCTAAGGTTCCTTTGTAACCTTCCTGGTATTCTCTAGACAAAACCAAACAGGAAAAGATTTTTTTTTTCTTCATTTGGAAGCCCCCAGCAATTGGATGTTCCTGTAGCTATGGCAACTTTGAATGTCAGAGTATATTTTAGAAGAATTTTGGTCAGTTTCTGTTTCCCTTACATTTTAATGTTTGATTATGTAGTTTTTTTGTTTCCTATAATGGCTTTCCCATCCAGAAATATGATAATTGAGTATCTTTTATAAAGCATTAAGGAATTTGTATCTAACTTACAAGGTGCATGTTTACTCTTTTTTGAATGGTGTTTAAGTTCACGGTCAAGTCCAAAACTATTTATCTTCCAAAGAGAGTAGACATAAAACTCTTAGTGTAATTGGGTGCTCTACTCATACAGAGTTATTTGGATGCTCTAAAGTGCCCAAAATTTTCACCTAGCATATAAGCATAACCCAGGCCCCTTCTGCCTAAAGCAAGATCTCTCTAAACTGTCAACTGTTTCCCTTAGTAAATTAAAAACACAATCTTGCTTTGAACCAAATAAACCAAAAACTTGTCCTCAAATTCAAATCTCATTTCCGAAAAGGACAGGTAATAGAACTTTAAATTCTGCAGGCTGAGTCTACCTGACTACACAGTGTATACTGAACACGTACTTCTGACTGTTTGAGCCAATAATAATACATATGTCTTTACTCAAAACTGAAAATTATTTAACCTTGCAATTAAGTGAGTATATTCCCCCTCCAAGCTAATTTTCAGCACAAGGGTACAGTGAGCTGAACACATATATTAGGTCTATACCCTTCTCCTAACAGCATAGCTCCCAGTGCAGCCCTGAACCAGAAAGCTTTGGAGAGAAGTAAAAAGTGAACTACAGCTATTGAAGAATTCCCATTTAAGCAGGTTACTTTCTGTGTTTCCAATACCATCCATCTAGACTGCCACACAGTGGGTGACTTCAAAGAGGAGCTACACAGCTAGAATTGCCTGGAGATCATGATATGACTGCTTTGTCAGCTCTGGACATTTCAGGAACATTCTAGCTTTTGGTGCAGGAACAAATGTAAAGCTGCCTGTCACAGCTGACTGTAAAGCACAGAAATATTTTCCAATATAGTCACTGATAAAGTTTGAGCACTGATTACAAAAAGAAGCACCTTCCTGCAGGGCTTACAGCAGGTTTTGAAAATTCCTATCGTGCATTTCAATGTTTCCTTTTGGGAAATAATTACTACTCTGGATTTGTCAACTTTCAATATGGAACAGCCTAGAAGAATGTCCGAAGGATCTGGTCCTACAAAAGCAAAAAAAGAGAAGCTGTTCTTTATGTAAAGGGTATGAAATATATTTTGACTTTTAATATGTGAAATACGGAGAAATGCAGCAATTAGGAGAAAACTGTATAAATCTTCATTAGTGAATAGCAAAGTTCTGCATTCCGCAAGACAGGTGAGAGAAAAGATTGGGGGAGGTGGGAGAAGGTAACAGTGCATACCTATGTGGCAAGAATTATGACATTGACAGCATACAAGCATTGAATAGAGATGCTGCTGCCAAAGAAATATCTCTGGATCCCCATGGGCTAGTCACTGAGAACTTAGGAATATCCTGAATTTCTTTGGGTTTTTTTAAGGGATACTGTTCAGGGTTAAATCTTAATAAAAAATTTTATGTGAAAACCCTGGTTTACCCTCAAAACCTATGTAGCCTTGCTTCCAACTGCTACAAGAACTGCTGAATAGAAAAGATATAACTCTTGATTTAAAAGCTTACCTAATGTAAAG